TCCACTGTTGCAATCGGGTTACTAACACTTTGAACAGGAAACAATACACCACCGAAGAATTTGAAGAATTATGTTTTGATTTTGGTATTGAATTGGATGAAGATACAACTAATGACTGTCAAGCTGGTGAACGTCCACAATACAAAATTGACATTCCTGCTAATCGTTATGATATGCTTTGTATCGAAGGTATTGCTCAATCCTTAAATGAATTTTTGCAAAGAGAACCAATTCCTCCATACAAATTATCCCCATCAACTCCAACACTTTCATTGACTGTTGATGAATCTACTGCTGCTGTCAGACCATATGCTGCCGCTGCTGTTTTGAGAAATATTACTTTTACTGAAAGATCATACCAATCTTTTATTGCTTTACAAGATAAACTTCATTCTAATTTATGTCGTAACAGAACATTAGTTGCAATGGGTACTCATGATTTAGATGCTTTAGAGGGTCCGTTCCATTATAAGGCTTTACCTAAGAAGGACATTAACTTCATTCCTTTAAATCAAACAAAGAATGTTAATGGTGAAGACTTTTTAGATTTTTATGCAAATGATAAAAATTTGGGTAAATTCCTACATATTATTGAAAACTTTGAAAATTTCCCAGTAATTTTGGACAATCAAAATAGGGTTGCCTCTTTACCACCAATTATCAACTCTGAACGCTCAAAAATTACTTTAAATACAAAGAATGTTTTCATTGAAATAACAGCTACTGATAAAACAAAAGCTGAGATCGTTGTCAATCAACTAGTTGCAATGTTTGCTCGTTATTGTTCTGAACCTTTTGTTATTGAACCTGTTGAAATCATCTCAAAACATAACAATGAATCAAGAGTTACACCAAACATTCAACCAAGAACAATGACTGCTGAAATTGATTATATCAACAAATGTTTAGGCTTACAATTATCTGGTGAAGAAATCAGTAAATTATTGTTGAAAATGTCACTAAGTGCTAAGCCATCAACCAGTGATTCAAACCTTTTGGAAGTTCAAATTCCATTAACAAGACCAGATATCTTACATCAAGCTGATATCATGGAAGATGCTGCCATTGCTTATGGTTATAACAATTTACCAAAAACTCGCATCTCTTCAAACTCAACTAAAGGTGCAACTCCATTGCCTATTAATAAAGTTGCTGATATAATTAGAAATGCTTCTGCACAATCAGGCTGGTCGGAAGTTTTACCTTTAACTTTATGTTCGCATGATGAAAATTATAAATTTTTGAATCAATCAGATGATTCTAAGGCTGTTCAGTTGGCTAATCCAAAAACTCAAGAATATCAAGTTGTTAGAACTTCTTTAATTCCAGGTATTTTGAAAACAATCCGTGAAAATAGAAAACATTCGCTACCAATCAAAGTTTTCGAGGCTGGTGATGTTGTTTTCAAAGATTTATCATTAGAACGTCGTGCTTTCAATCAAAGAAATTGGGCTGCTATATACGCTGGTAAAACCTCTGGTTTTGAATATGCTCAAGGTTTATTAGGTAAAATCATGCAAACTTTGAGAACACCATGGTTAGCTGATCCAAAGAATTCAACTGAAAAAGGTTATTGGATTGAAGAAGACCCAGAAAATAAAACTTATTTCCCAGGAAGAGGTGCCAAAATTTTCTATAGACATAAAAATGGTGGTGATGCTCAAGCTGTTGGTTCAATCGGTGTTCTACATCCTCAAGTTTTGAACAATTTCGAAATTCCTTATGCTGCTAGTGCTGTTGAGATTAATGCTGAAATCTTCCTTTGATTTTGTGTATAAAATAAACTATTGAATAGAGTATATTATTTTTATTTATATATCCGTAAAATAGTTATGCAAATGACATTGTTATATTTTCTTTTGGTGGATCCTCCTCAATATCAGAAGTCGACACATTATGATCAATGGCAAGCGGTTCCGGCTCTATAGATTTTGATTCTTCCTCAGAGCCCTTTTGGTTGGGTTTAGTCTTTCGGTTTTTTTCATGTATCTCCTCATTTAGCTTCAACTGCTCAACCTCGTTCATCACTTCATCAACATCAAAATCAAACTTTTGTGGGGTTTCTTTTCCTGAATTATCTGACTTATTAAGATCATCAACATTGTAAATGTTCCACCATTCTTTTTTCTTTGGACCAAACCATTTTTTCCAAAAGCCTTTCTTTTTACCATTCGCTTGTTCATTCTCCATCTGTTTTCTTGCTTCGTCAAATTCTAAAATCAACTGGCGTTGTCTTTCTGTCTGCTCGGGATCTGGGTCATCAATTTCAACAAACTCTTCTGCTAATACTTGAAATCCTAATTGAGATAAAAGTTGGGGCATTGCCTTACGATATTCCATATGGCCTTGTACATATGAAGTGCAATCAAAATTTTGAATACCCGCAAAGTTTTCAATAGGTGATAGTCCAGCAACTCTTCTTAGCCCACCACTGGTAGCTCTAAATAAATAACCTAAAATCCAATCCTTTTTAGAAAAACCATTGATATAATCACCAGATACAACAGATCTTGCAAGTGCTAGCTCCTCAGTGGAAACAACAACTGGTGATCCAAACAAAACAACTTTCTCCACAAGTCCATAAGCACCCCTTTTTGCTAGTTCTAATAAACAAGAATAAATAACCCTGGAGCCCAAAGAGAATCCAACGAGAGTGACTGGTCTAACGCCTAAATTTCTTGAGATTAATGTATCAGCCAAAATCAAACCTGCTTTCCATGCTCGATCAAGAGAAACATTCCATGGATTATCCAATAAATATCCTAATTTAGAAAGTGCCATTGGGATTTGAACAGCACTCATCAATGCCATTAAAATTGTGGCTCCTAAAATCTGTTGAACTGATTGAGTCAATGCTTCGGTGGCTAAAATTCCAACAGTTTGACCAGTAGATTGAAGCATTTCTGGTTCCCATAATAATGAAATCAAATCCCCCATGACTGGATCCACGGTTGAAAAGGGTAAGCGAATATCATCAGCTTTGCTATTCATCCAACCTGAAACGGTTATTATCAAATTCACTCGTTTGTTATTGTGTAAGGGAATAAATTCAAAAGTCTTCACATCACCCACTCTTTTTATCATTCCACTAGATCCAATCTTTGCACCAATAGCTGTACCGGTAACTGTAACCAGGGCCGTACCTCCAGCACCAGCTAAAAAACCTGAAGTACCTCCAATCCCAATGGTAGTCAACCCTGCGGCTATACCAGCACCTATAACAGGGGCCAAGAGTCCAGCACTCAACCCCAATACTAAAGAACCACCAATTGTTGCGATACCGACATACATGAGTTTCTTCTTTTTGGCCTTCCTCTTTCTAGAGGATAAAATTTCACTCTCGTCCCAAACTTGCTCCGATGAATCTTCCAGTTGTAAAGAATCTGTGATTCTTCTCTCAAATTGAAAAATTTCCAATTCATCAAGCCCAATCAACTTTCCAAATTTTATCAACAAAGTTCTAGATCTTGAGTCATACACTGAATCTGCTAGTAGAACCAAAAACAAATCGCAAAGCACTGTCCAAGCAACATCAATCTCAATAGTAGCATCTGTAGCAATATCTTCTGGTCGTAGAACACTTTTATCTTCTAAGCTTTTTGAATCAACACTTTTTTGAGCCTCGCGATCAAAAGCAGGATTTTCAACAATTTCATGAACTTTCAAAGACTTTGCTAAGTCGTCTGGTTCAATTCCATGTGAGCTTAACGACTCAATCATTTTAGACTCTTCTTTGGTTAGTTCAAGATGACTATATAGCCTATCAATAATTTTGTACTGCCATTGGCCAAAATTTGATTGCGAAAGATTCATCCGTTTGACAAATTTTGAACCTCTAAAGTAGTTTTTTGACATCAAAGCTTGTTTCGCTAAGTCTGTAGCCATTTCGTTCATTACTAACTTGACCAAACCAACATAACCAAATTTTTGAGAATCTTTCAAAAGCTTTTTGGTGGTTTGTAATTGTGATAAAGGGTTTTGTGTTTGATAATCGAAAGTATCTTCCTCAAAATTATCTTCTTCGTCCATATCATCATAGAATGCATCAGCCACTTGTGATCGAGGACCTTTATTAGATTTGAATAAAAAGTCAGTTTTCTTATCTGCTTCTTTGTACCTTTCAGCTTGTTCTTCGGCTGCTATTCTAGTGTACCCAGTTCTCCCACCTTCGTGTGAAGCCTCTGGGTTTGTATCAGCTTCTGTTGTTGACGCACCATTCTCACCATAAAAATCATCATTTGCTGTAGCTTCCATTTGCTTCCATTCATCTTCATCCTCTTCTTCGACTCCATTTTGTTCAACGATTGTCTTGTGCCTTTGAGAATTCCCTGCTAATTGATCTGTTTTTGTTTCTGTAATATTGGAGTAGGGTGATTCAGTATGATCATCAATAGGCTTGAACACTGAGTTCAAAGTTTCACCAAGGTATAGCTGAGCTGCTTTATCTTCATGGGATATTTCGTCACCCGCTAGCCCTTTTTTAACAAGTTTAGCTTTTGTGCCATCATTTCTATTAATTACTAAACGATCACTTGAAACAACTCCTGTTTTCGAATCATTATGGCCCAAATCAAACTCAACATAGTCTGAATGTGAATAAAAACCTCGTTGTTGATCATTGGATTTCCTCGTTACATCCAAAATACTAACTTGTGATGCTGATGCACTGGGTATAATCCCAACATGACAAGGAGAAATGGTGTCTTTTGAGTTCACCTGCTGCTGAGATCTATTATTAATCCTCCCCAACGAATCCGATGAGTATGACAACTGTGGTACAGAAAGTGTTGGCTTGTTGAATTTATCAACATCTGTACAATCAATAGCATCTTTATCCTTTTGATCCATATCTATTAGATGAAATACGGGTCTGATTTCAATGAGTCATGAGAGATATAGTGAGCGTTATTAGTAGATATCTTCTGTGGTTAAGTAATGGGAGCTTTGTGGTTGCAATGTTGTGTAGTGACATGTTACAATATGGAGTTGTTATCATTTGATCTCTCAAAATCCTCCAAACGTCAAGACAATTACACGTACCAGAATGACAGAGCTCGCGTTTCCACGGTAACTGAGAATGATACACACCCAGACACCAAATGCCTCTCTTGTGTGACTGTTGCCAAAACCACGAAAAAGTTTCAATGGTTTGCGCACAGAAGTTTTTCATAAGGACTTGTCAATACAAAAGTTTTTCAAGAATCAAAAGTTCCTTTCTTCAATTAACTTGTAAATATAACAACAAAGCAAATTATCAAGATGGCTCCAATTGTACGTATACAATATCAATAAAGTAAGCTTTTGAGCTAATTGGGGAAAATGATGACTGAATCTTTATATCTTCATCAAATCATAAAGATCTAACTTAGAACTTTTTAGAGACATCCAATTATCGCTTTGCTGAATTTTATATCTTTTTCAAGATTATAATAGCAGTAGGCTTACTAACATGATAATAGACCAACAAAAAAGCTAAAGCTGCTAAAAAATTCACTGTTGATGTTTCAGCTCCAACTGAAAATGGTGTCTTTGACCCATCATCATACACCAAATACTTGAATGACCACATCAAAGTTGAAGGTGCTGTTGGTAACTTAGGTAACGATATCACTGTTGAAGAAAATGGTACCACCATCACTGTTGTTTCAACCACCAAATTCTCAGGTAAATACTTGAAATACTTAACAAAAAGATACTTGAAGAAAAACCAAATCAGAGACTGGATCAGATTTGTTTCTGTTAAACAAGGTGTCTACAAATTAACTTTCTACTCAGTTGCTGCTGATGAAGAAGATGAAGAATAAATGCAATAGTGCTTTTATTTGTGTTTGGGATTTTAATTTACCAGGGTTAATTGATGGTTATTATTTGTATAATCATTTAGTTACTCCTTTCATTTAAAAAAAAATGGGTTTTTTCGTTATGGGTGGTTTTTAATGTAAAATAGAATAATGTCATAATGATCAATTGTAGTTTATATTTACTTTCTTTTATACAATCTAAAAAAGAATCTCATATTTTCTACTTTTAATGGATAGTCGTAATCTTTTTCACATCTGTACCAACAGCTATCACTTTGCTTCACTAGCTCCCAATTACCAGATCCATCCTTCCCTAAAAGAATTGTATCTATCAAGAACCTAATAGGAAATTTCTTTGTTCCCACAGTGATATGACTATAACTGCCAGCACTTTCCGCAATCAAAAGGTGTGCTCCTTGTTGACAATTATCAAGTGCTTGAAATAATCTTATTGACTTTGCTTTATCCTCTGAGAAAAGCTCGTTGGTCGTGAAAAGTAAAGTGATTAGATCCAAAGAATTGAGTTGTAAACTTGAATCATGATTAGCATTTAAAACATCTTCATTCAAAAATTCAACATTTAGATAGTCAGGTTCATTGTATAGCCAAGCTTTCTTGATCTCACTTGTTAACTTGTCGGCAATCAACCCCCAGTCAGCGATATCTATCAACTTCACGTCAAGCTTTGACCTATATCTTTCCTTATTGTAAAAGTCTCTGGATTGAGCAAACACGGCACTTAATCCAACAAGTTCACCACAAGCACCTCCACCAATACACAATATTCTGGAGTCTCTCTCGGTGATGATATTTCTGATTTCTTCCAACGAACTGAATAAGGAAGAATAACAAAGTGCTCTTGAAGGAGTCCACCTCACGACATATGCCATTCTTCTATCATCGTCACCAAATGCTTTAATGTAATCCCTTTCATATAAATCACCTTTCACAGTCTGGATAAAACTTTCAATATTTGGAGAGTTTAACAAATACCTAAATGAATCTTGGAATAACTTGAGAACATCATTTGAAGGAAGGGAGTATGTTGACGATGCAGGAATTGTTGGGAATTCGGAGATTTCTGAAGTCTCCTCCCCTCCAGAAGATTTATCTGCTGCTTTAGATCTACTGTTACCTGCTCTTTTGCTCATGATTGTTCTTTGATCTGATTCATCATGCCTTTACAATGTACAGCATAAAGCTACAATTACATGATGCCCTAAAACATAAACACAATTTTTTTTTGTTGATGGAGTGTTCCAACCAATGCTCGGAACTTTGAACAAACCGGTCTGCTTAGATTATTTAACAGTGAAAATTTTCAATTCTGTGTAAACAATCTTACTTTTTTAAATTTCCTTCATCAGCAATCTGTGTTGTGAAACAACTCAATAAAACCTGGATTAAATGCCATTCATTTGGTATTTTCCTTGTGATATTGTAGTTCAATGTTTTGCAGCAGTTCGGCGCTCGTGAGGCAAGTTTCATTTTGGTCAGTTCAGATATTTTGTGAGTTGGTCCTTCTATTTCTAGAGGTTGAGCGATTCATGGATATTTTTGATCAATGTCACCCATCGTGGTGTTGAAACAGGGCAGCCCCGTCGACAGATTGTAGAAGAAGTGGGATTGGTTTTGAAATCTTATGGATCTTTTACGGGTGAAGTAATTGAGTTCGACCACTTTATATCTCACGGCAACATATTCCTGAACGCTGTGTAGGTCATTTGACCTTTGATCACTTGGGTAAAACCATGTTGCGCACATCTCTTTATATATATCTATGTATCGAATTAATAAATAAGTACCACTCTACCTGTTCAATTAATGAAATGTAATTTTTTTGACGATTCAATCACTTTTGTATCATGTGTATTAGGTAGAAGAAAAAAAACAGTGCATATTATTATTGTATTAATAAACTAAAACAGATCAAAAGAGGACAGCTAATCAATGATGGAATAAACGAATTTGGTTTTCAACATAAACTAAATCAAATGAATCAGCAGCTGCAAAAACAGCAGAATCTTGAACAGAACCTGAAGGAGCAGCAATATATTTGACACCTGATCTAACAGCTCTGTAAACATTATCTGGGAATGGGAAGAATGCATCTGATGATAATGCAACATTATTAAGTTTAGCTAACCATTCTTTTCTTTCTTGTTCGGTTAATGGTTCTGGTAAAGTTGCGAACTTAGATTCATATTCTGATTTTTCTGGTTCGGTTGTTGGAATTTGACCAGTGACAAATAAATCAATAGCATTAGATTTTTCAGGTCTTTTAACACCTTTTGCCCATTTGAATGATAAAACTCTTGGGTGTTGTCTAAACCACCAATTGTCAGCTTTATCACCTGCTAATCTTGTACAATGAATTCTTGATTGTTGACCAGCACCTAATCCAATAACCATACCATTCTTAGCATAACAAACAGAGTTTGATTGTGTATATTTCAAAGAGATGGTTGCAACAGTCAAGTCAATGATAGCTTGTTCTGTAAGTTCCTTGTTCTTAGAAACGATCTCTTTAAAAGTTGATTTATTAATGATGGCATCATTTCTTTTTTGTTGTAAAGTGATACCATAAACTTGTCTTGATTCCAATAAATCTGGGGTAAAGTTTGGATCAATTTGTAAAACACAATATTTACCACCTTTCTTTTTCTTTAAGAGCTCAAGAGCTTCAGGTTCGTATCCTGGAGCAACAACACCATCTGAAACTTCTTTTGAAATTATTTGAGCAGTTGGTAAATCAACAATGTTTGATAAAGCGATCCAATCACCAAATGAAGACATTCTATCAGCACCTCTGGCTCTTGCATAAGCATTTGCTAATGGAGATAAGTTTTCAATATCTTGAACAAAATAAATTTGTTTTTCAACATCTGATAAAGGTAAACCAACAGCAGCACCTGCTGGAGAAACATGTTTAAATGAAGCAGCAGCTGGTAAATTTAATGAAGCAGATAATTCTTTAACTAATGGCCATGAATTTAATGCATCCAATAAATTAATATAACCTGGTGAACCACTCAAAACTTTGAAAGGTAAATCACCTTGAGGAACATAAGCTTGAGCTGGTTTTTGATGTGGGTTGGCACCATAACGTAAAGGTAATTGAGAAACACCTTCAGAGTATTGTTTTCTAAAAAAATCAGAAATAGCGGCGTCATAATCGGCAGTATGTTCAAAAGCTTTCAAAGCTAATCTATTTCTTAATTTTTCAGAAACTTCACCAGATTTCAATTCATCTAAAAATGTTGAATAATCATGTGGATCTGATAAAATAGTAACTCTAGCATGATTTTTAGCAGCAGCTCTTAATAAAGTAACACCACCAATGTCAATTTCTTCAACAGCTTCATCAATTGTAACACTAATTTTTGAAATTGTTTCTTTGAATGGATACAAATTACAAACAACAAAATCCACTTTTTCGATTTTTTGTTCTTTTAAATCTTTTTCATCCGATTCGAGGTTTCTAGCTAAAATACCACCATGAACAGCTGGATGTAAAGTTTTAACACGACCACCCAACATTTCTGGAGCATGTGTGATCTCTGAAACATCATCAACTGGGAAACCAGCTTCACGAACCATTTTAGCAGTACCACCGGAAGCTAAGATACGAACATTGTTTTGAACAAGACCTTTTGCAAGATCTAATAACCCAGTTTTATCATAGACTGATAAGATTGCGGTCTTATTGTATGTTGACATTTTGTATGTAACTATGAAATAACAAGTTTCGTTGAAACAATAAAGATTTGTCTTGAATCAAGAACCTCTATTCAGCTCGAATTAAAAACAAATTGAGTTGGAAGCGATGACTTTGATATTTCTACTGAAATCATGAGTGATTTGACTGCAATCAAAAAATCAATTTCTTTGCAAAGGAGAAGTCAAAGCGTAACCAACGACGAATTCGCGAAAGAAAAATTGGATTTGGAAAATCGACTTTGCGGGTAAATAAGCCAAATTTGAGCTGCTAGTTAAGGAACTTGAAAATAGCATATATTAACGGTTTATCAAGAAACAGGTGGTGATGTCAAGAGACATCTTGAATTGGACAGCTACTTGTAATATTTCTACATTTTAATTTTTTTTATAAACAAAGTCATTTAACTAAACAGTGTACCCATTTCAACAATCACAGTATCAATCTTTTCACCACAGTTTTAAGTTCAAAGAAAACACCAATTCCAAAAAATCCATTGCTTTGCAGTTAAACACATCAACGATTTGACTTTGCTTAACGGTAACGCCATAATGACAAAGTGTTTTGTCTTTTCCAGGTGTGACGACGACCAGCTTTGGTGTTGTTGTATCTGTGACCTTTGTTAAGACCACGAGATTTCTTACCAGCAGCAGTAAGACCACGAGCTTCACGATGTTTGTGAACTGGTTTAGCGATCCAGTTGTATCTAGCATCACGACGGATAGCTTTGTGTTGAGGATCAACTAAAATAACTTCGAAATATTTGTAGGTAGAATCTTGGTTAATCCAGTATGAGTTCAAAACTCTCAAGTTAGCAGCACGACGACCAACACGTTCTTCAGCAGTGGTACGTAATGATTTTTGGTATTTCAATTGAGAAACACCTTGGTTGGTTGGTTTACCATAAGTAGCACCTTTTGGAACTGGTCTCTTTCTGTTACCACGACGAACTCTGACACGGTAGATAACGAAACCTTGTTTAGCTTTGTAACCTAAACGTCTAGCTTTATCTGGACGAGATGGTCTTGAAGCACGGTGAATAACGTTTTTTTGACGGTATTCCCAGACTCTAACTCTGAATAAAAATCTGTTGACATCAGATTGTTTTTTACGTTGTAATTCTTCCAAATATTTGTAAGCACCCACTAAAGAGAAATTGATGTTAGTTTCAGTTGATTCATTGGGAAAAAAAAGCTAGTGCACTTTATAGAGGTGAAATGTAGATTCTTGATAAAATTATTCAAATTTGTATGACAACAGCATCATTACTATTCGTTCAATAAACCAAATAATTAATCCATCTATTTGAGGCAACTAATCCTAGGGTGATACGTACTTTTTGCTGTGATAAGTTAGTAACCAAAAGTATACTTTGATAGTAAACAACGAATTGTTAATAGTGAATGAAGATAAATTTTCACTTTTGCCAATGTTGAAAAACTGGTAGGAAAAAAAAAAAAAACGGTGAAATTTTTTCAGTAGATTTACCCGGATCCTTAACGAGCCCTACTTCACATCACGTGAACATGAAATTTGCGAGCAAAAATCAAGTGAACTAGCGTAAGTATGGGGTTGACAAGAAACTCAAGTAAAGCAGTGAATCAGGACGTTATGTCCCAATATAATTCAATGAACTTCTCAATTGCAGTTTGACGTTATGATCAATTCAATAAACAACATCTACCTGGAGCTGGGGGATTAGCTGTATAATCGAAGCTAGTCACTGACCAGCTATACTTCCAAAACTTTATACAGAATGATCGGTTATCGATATAGACCAAGTTCGTAGGGGTGTCAATGTTCCCAGAAATATTACGCATGGTACATGCTGAGCTGGCAATTCGGATCTATACAGGTATATTAATTGAATAGTATGAAATAAATCGATGTTATTTAACGTTGAACCAGCTGATCGATCTAATCAAAATTGTCACCTAGGTCTACTAGCAGGTTATGATCACACCAGCTAGTCCGCAGTATGAGCTTTCAATATATATTATTAAAGTAATTGATGATGTCTATTCGTCTAATTGCACTAGTAGGTCAACGACATGAATCATAACTTAGGAAACTGTTAAACAAGCTCTGGACTCTCTCTGAAGAACGTCATCGGTACAAAACCGATCATAATTGAGTAATTATATCAAAACCATTAATTCACTGTAATTCATGAATTAGCAATATATAATGTCTATAACACTAGATGGATTACATTATAATATACTTATATATTACTACTTCCAATCTCCTCATCATGACCACCAGCAGGTAATTAATATATAAGATACACTAGAATTGTCCATGTTATAACAGCTTTCCCCATCACAACTCATCCTATTTAGCCGTGTAATTGAAGAGGCTATCAGCCTATCAATATAAAACTTAAGGTACGTTTATAATATTTTCAATATCACATTGCCTCCACAGCTAGTTTACATAAAGCTGGTGAAGACGTACTAAATTATTTAGATCAGAAAAAGGCCTGTGGTATAACGAGTTACATTGAGTAGTACATGCTTCTCATACTCCAAATTATAATTTAATTAATTTACCTCTAGTACATGTGTAGATGGTTGAATTCATGAATATCACTGATTATAATATTCTTCATGAACATTGAGTTCGTCAATTGATAATTAGTACGCCAACTTTAAAACACTTTCTCTGGTCTGTGGTGAACTAGGATTCGTCTATCTTCTTTGATAACTCGATAGCTTTTCTTCGTCATATATCGAAAGTTGTCTGGTATATGGTATAAGTCTTAAAGTGTACTACTCTTCATGGTGTTCACTGTTTACGCTTTCAACTCAACTTCAACCTTTGTACCTTTTGCAATTGTTGTCGCGCAGAATATGGTTGGGCGTACCTGCATCAGGCGGTTGTTTGAAATGACGAAAATGGCGAAAATGGCGAAAGCGAAAAAAACGATCTGCACAACGCGGTCAAAAGTTGCAAAAACGTGAAAATTCAGAACTACAAAATCACATACACACCAAACATTTGAGGGTAAGTAATGAGTGGCAGCATTCTATTTGCTGGCTAATTGACTCTCTTCCCGGGTCTCGCTATTACAGCATTATTTCAAGTGGTTAGCTCTGGAATGTTTGCACTCAAGCACGATGACAATCAGTGTTTACATTTTGTGGTGCGACCCATGGCAGAGCATCAATCGGCGTTCCAACTGACTGTACAAAAAAATTTGTCAAACAGGTACCAAACGCAGACCCACCAATAATACAACTGGCCTGGACTCTGGATTCTGGAGCAAGTATTTTATTGTTGAACTCAAGCGACGAGCTGGCCTTGGTTTCAGTGCAAAATTCACAACCTTTGTATCTTTGGAACCAGCTTCTACACGTTCAACAATCCGATCACTTACATCATTTGCGAGTTCAACGATCATTTCCCTTTGAAATCGATAATCCTTCAATTTGCAAAAAAATCTACAAAACAAAAAGATCAACAACAACAACTGAAGGGAAGTATAAAACCAAATCCCTTTCCACTTTTTGGTTCTGAAGATTCAACAACACATTCAACTTTTTAACCTTTTTCATTCACTAAACCACATTTCATTCACTTAATACCATCATGAGTTTATTAACAGATTCCTCAGTCGCTGCCTTGGCCACGGATCCTTCAGTATCTGCAACAACTCTACAAAGATCACAAACAGGTGGTAAAAGTTCCTTACCAACAGCCATTTTCCCTTCATCAGCATCCAAAATCACTGCAAGTTCAAACTCTCAAGTAACGGGTTCAGGTTCACCAACAACTTTATCATCAAGTTTCTATTCAAATTTACAAATATTAACAGACACGTCAAGTATAGCTGCACTAGCTTCTTCTGGAAGCATTTCAAATGGTGATCATAAAACAGCAGCAAGCGGTTCCGGGAGTAATAATCACAATAATAATGGAGCATTAGACGGTGATTCATCAGGAGGGAAAGGTTCATCTTCAAGTTCAGTTGCTTCAGTAAGCAACAACCAAAAATCTGATACAAGTGGTGGTTCATCAATTTTGTTTCATCAGAATAATCAAAATAAATTGAATTGGAAATTAATAGCTATACCTATGATGTTAGCTCTGCCAATGGTTTTATGAATCTTTTTTCAAGTGTGACTTCGCTTGAAGTGTTGGTTAACTTGCAATATATCATATACTTGACAATACTTGAATGACTCTCAACTAATGTTTGATAGACTGAAGAGTATAATGAAATCACCATCATCGCAAGGATACATCAACTATGGGCGCTCAAAGACATTATAAGATACCAACAACTTAGAGTTCCATCAATATACTAATGACATTTTATTTTGCACATTCTATTCAATTGGGAAATCTTTGAAACGTGATATGATAATACGTTTCAGAAGTTAACCAACATTCATGATTAAGATTTATTTTAGTATACAACATTTATAATTCTAATACACTCATTGTCCTATGGGCCGTATGTAGATTCATATGATGAGCGGTTAATGACAGTTCAGCTTCTTCAGCTTCAAATTCTTACGAATTCACACAATTGAAACTAGCTAATTGATATTATATCACAGTCACTCAAAGAAAATGGGTATGTTTTTTCATTTTCTCTCTTTTTAAAGCTACTACAATTGTTCTCGTCTGTAGTGGTGTCTACTTCTTGTTCTCGATCATGTAATTATTTGGGGCTCAATCAAGCTGTGTTATAAGCCTCTCAAACCCCTGGAGGAATTTGGTTTAGTGTGTTTAAGGTACACCACCATTTTGGGTTTAAAATCAACACTTCACTGCCTCGACTAAAAGATTTTGAATATCAAACTTACCTCAAGAAGAAATATTGAAGTGCAATGTCAACATAGCCGTTGTAAATTGTAGAAGAGGATTAGTTTTAGTGATGGAGATACCAAAAAAAAAAAAACGAATTTTTGGTTGAAGAATTGAGTACAAGCTACAATCTGGTTACAATCGATCAAAAGAACAGACTTATCTGCTGGTTCATTCGGTTACATACTGTTAATATTCCAAATGTTTTGTACCTGATTCAATTTTAGTGATGTGTGTACTGATTTGATTTGCTAGATACACAAGTGGCAATGTTCAATATTTTTGGAAAATTTCGTTATAGCAAGGTCCAAAGTCTACTGAATGCGTACTCCAAACGTACTGGTATTTACACAATTATTAACATAGATGTAAGATGTTTCAAGATTGGTGATAAATCAAGCAATCAAGAGATTCAATTTGGGTACTACTTGGAATTTTCAAAAGTCTAACGGTTCAATCATCTTGAGCAACATTTAAGTTAAGCTGAGGTTGTCATGTTAATTGCTTAAACGAGTTTCACATTTTCTGTTTTCAAGCTATAAGAAATGAAAAATTAATACCTGAGTATCATTTCTTTTTGGTAAATACCTAGTGGCTTCCCCCTTTTTGACTTGCTACTGTTGTGTTTTTAAGATTTCCACCAAACTTCACCACCAACTCATAGCCAACATGAAATTCAAAACCGCAATTAAATAGAGATGTTAAACAGAATAAACAAAGTGGCTTTATCAACTTGAAAATATTATATATAGAGGTGGTTTTCCTTATGATTTCAAGGATGAAAGTTTTAGTGTTTTTGATATCATAAAGAGTTTTGAATAGATTGAATCTACAACAAATTCTTTGAATAAAAATCGTTAAAAAAAGAGGAACAAATTATTAATATGGCTTCATCATTAGCATCAGCAGGTACTGCAGCAGTTGGCTCAGCAGGTTCTTCAGCCATTTTAGGTGGTGGTTCTTCTTCAGGTGGTGGTAGTGGCTCATCAGCTTCCCAATCTTCTGGTGGTGGTTCATCAGCCTCCAAATCTTCTGGTGGTGGTGGTTCAGCTAGTGGTGGTTCATCAGCTTCTAAATCTTCAGGTGGTTCAAGCTCTGGTTCATCAAGCTCTGGTTCAAGTCCTGCTCAAGGTGTTTATGTCCAGAACCCGATTTCATGGAAGTTTGGATACTTATATGGTGGTATTTTAGCGGCTGGTTTCGTTTTAACTGCTGGTGTCCTATAAGAAGATATGTGTATTTGTACTTGATGTATTTTCATGTGTAATGAACAGTTTATAATCTAAGAAAAAGTTTTTGTATTAATATCCATTCGTAATCTTGTTAATACAACTGAATATCGTTCGAACAGTAATGCTGCTTGACAGAATTTTCATCTCCATCTTTGAGAACTCAATTCGTTGACATATTTTAGGTGAGGAAAAAAGCCACACTAGATTCAGGTCAAAGATTCAAAATCTCTACAACATGTAAATTAATAATTCAAAACTGAATGTATATTATAGAAACATAAGTCCATAAACCAAACTCTAAATAAAACCAAGAAATAAAATAACTTTGCCAAATTATAAAACACGAAAATAATAAAAAAACAATCACCAGTAATGCTAAAGTGATATTAAAATTCTTCTCTAAAGAATAATTATGATTAATTGAAATCAACTTTTTTCAAACATTCTCTCCCAACATTAAATTAAATAAACCAACATAACAATAAGTTTTTATTTTTTTTTTCAAATTTAAAAACCTAATGATAAAACGAATGGAGAAGCAACTAAAGCACCGATGGCAACACCGTATTTCCATGAGATTGGGTTAACAACACCCATAGCAGCACCTGATTTAGCAGATGAAGAACCTTTGGTTGAGTTTGAACTGTTACCACCGTGGGTACCGTTACCAGTTGAGTTGGCTGAAGCGTTGGCAGCAGCGTAAACAACAGCTTGTTGTGGAACTAATGATAAGCTTGGGACTGATGAAACCATTTTTGAATGTAGTGTGTAGTAGTTTGTATTTGATAGTAATCTAGACGATTGTGTATGATAAAAGAAGAAGTGTAAAAAGGAAGAAGCGAAAGGGGGAATTTGGATCTGTATTTATATTGTTTTTGTGGTTTGAGATTTTGTTCTTAAAATAAAAACCCGCATCAAGATTTCGTCAAGATTTGCGCCATCAATTTTAGAGGGCGAAAATTGCAAACGCGATCAATTCGTCGACGAATCAAAGAAAAACGAATTTAAAGAGTGCCACAGGAGGTGCTAAATTTTAAATCTTGAGTCAGGAATGAGTGGCACCACGTCCAAGATCAAGCTCAATTGAACTAAATGAATCACTTCTAATACCGAGCTACTGGTATTAAGCTTTTGCCAGGACCTCTTTCTTTGTTCATTCCTTCCTTTGCGGCCTGGTGTAATTCTTTTCTCACGTCAACCAGCTGTCTTCTAATTTCTGGCGTACGCCTCCTTGGGCGCCTAAAACGGCAAAACGTAAACAGCAGAGTGCAAAAAGCAAAAAAAGAACAAAAAAAAACCGCTCCGATCGAACTTGGCTTTTGTCGTCGTGTCTTGAGATTTTGGATGCCGAAGCCCAATTCAAAGCATTCAAGGCAGATTGTACTACATACCATACACATGTAGATACCAATGGCTGTGAGTTTCCAGCTTGTTCTTGTGGAAGCTCTTACACTGTTTGTTGTGTAAGGCAGCATTCCCCGGTCTAACTAGGGCAGTGCTAATTTTAGACATTTCCAAATTCTCATGCAATCGTAAAAAAAATAAAAAAAAAAGTGGGCGCAAGAAAATCGCAATTACTTTACCCTTTTGGGAAATCTAATTACATGGACTCCAGCCAGCTAAATCATCATGATGAAACTGATGAAATCAAGCGCTTCAGATGTGTCACCAATTTGCTTTCCAATTCACCTAGGAAATACATAGTCAAACATCAACAAGGACAAAACAGAATACCTAGAAACTCTACACTTGTGGAATTGCTTTAGGAATCTTGAACATAGATTATATTTTTCATTTAATGATAAACATTGATGTATCAAAATGAGAGTACTTTATATCATGTTTTTGAGAAATATGAATTCACAGGTTATCTATAGGATCAATTGAGTGTTATTATAGTGTTGCTAGCTCATCTTTTACTTTACCAGAACTCACAATTCGACCAACTGAATTTACTGAAAATAAGGAATTATATTGTAAAAAAGATGTCTCTTTGGATTGACTACAAGCTCTTGCATCACAGCTGGAAAGAATGAGGAATTGTGCTGAAGCTGTTTTAGCTACAAAATATGACATGAGAAATCTTCAACAAAAAATATGGTTTTAAAAGAAGGAAGAGTTTTTGCAGAGGTGGCTTGAAGATGGTATTCTTGTTAAGATGCTAGAAAAGCTATTATCAATAAAGCGCTACAAAGATATACCTCTTTATATTTTGTGGTCTTCTGTTGGTTGATAATTTGAAGCTTAGATTTTTCTTGCAAACCTATTGTTTCAAGAAATCAATTACTACAAATCTAATGCCTGTACTTTTAATTGTTGAGAAATTGTGACTTTGAAGATTGTCGATCATTTATTTGAAGTAATATATAGAGAACATTGGATTAAAGCTGGCTGATCTTATATTACAAAAAATGGTTGATTCATGAGAGATCAGACGTTCGGTGTTAATTTAAATTTTTTTTAAGACGTTAATTAATTGTACTAATGTTTTTGATGAACTTTTTATATGAGGAATTATGCAATTAAGCACGTCGAACCGCTTGGATTGTAGGCTTCAGCTCGCGGCGCCTACGTTGGAATTTAGGCTTCCGGCAGCTTATAATATCCTTCTCAGTCATGAACTGAGCTGAAACCTATTCTAAATATCCACCATAATTATTAAATATTTAATTAATAATATAATTTAATATTGACGACGTATAATCTGATATTGTCATGCACGTCACTAGCTGTATAATTTATAAATTAATAACTAGCTGCTTATAATAATAATTATAAATTAATAATTATATTAATTTATATAATTTTTAATATGATCATCATCACATAAAACGGGATGAAGCATTTTTTCCTGAAAATTATATATTCTCATGATTTGCTAGTGTTCAGTCACCAGCTTAGAATCAACTAATTAACAGACCATTATAAGGACTTCATCAAGAAAAGTAATATTAGCTGGAATATCTTGGTGATTTCGTTATATCTAAATATTATTATAGAAATTTTAAAAGCAGGGGCAAAAAATTATTTCGAACATGAGACCTACATGGAATGAATCGGTTCGACGTCAATATGAACGTCCTGTAATATGAGACCCTGTTGTCGCTTTAGTTTTCGACTTATTGCTGTTCAAAGTTGGTGTTTTAGTGTTTCCGACCTCCGATTCAAGATGGCGTGAGAAAAACAAATGTAAACACTTTTTCAACATCAACGTCTATGAAAATCAAATAGACAAAATGAGATGCTCTTAATACGTCGCCAATTGGTTTTTCATGATCACAATGGGTCCTTTGAATTGAATCTATGGACTAGACAGTTGAATGTTTATAAATGAACCAAAGCTGTTGTGATTTGATGTTTTGAAATGTTAACAATTAACTCAATGTCTCCAAGGTAGCTCACCACTTACTCTCATTACTACTCAATCAAAGTGCCAAGTTACTTTCCAAATTCATACCCTTAGGGTGGCAGAATTTCAAAGACGTTGGATGTTGGAATTGAAAATGCTAAAGATGTGATGTTTATGGTGTTGCTTCAGAGTTTCATATGCTGAGGTTTGGGAAATGTCGATAAATGACGAGAGTTTTTAGAGGGTATCCCACATTCATACTTTAACCAAATGCTTTAATAGATGGCACTTCTGCTGGTGTGTTGTAGAGTGTTTGGTGTACAGGTGAATTGAGCAAACTGAAGTGGTGTTGACTATGGTGTTGGGCACCTTACTGGTGTTGCAGAGGGTGTCTAGGTACTATCCTGGCTTTACTGAGTGTCTGGGTACCATGATGACACTGCAGGGTGTGCTGGTGGGCTGGGAAATACTGAATAAATGTCGACTATGGTGTTGGGTATTATAGAAAAACTGGTGAATTGAGAATGCTTTCAAGAATGGGATAGATGAAGCTTCTGCTGGTGTGTTGTAGGGTGTACTGGTGGATTGAGAATGCTCTAATAGATGAAGCTTCTGCGGGTGGTGTAGGGTGCAGGATGTACTGGTGAATTGATAATGCTGATAAACAAGTCATGAGTATGATGCTGGGTACTTTAATGGATTCATACAACTCAAAAGCTCATAACTCAACGTTTCAAGGCCATCACGTAAATATGATATTTTTGACCCAGAATATATTGTTGGAAATTCTTAATAAGTCAAATATTGTTTTGTCTTCACATGAGTGAGTCCTTTGAATTCGGATTGTAGCTCGATGCTTTTCCTCCAAATCTCGCCTAAGTCTACACAAGCCGAAGGCTCTCACTCGCTTGTTATATTATACAAATTTTACAATTGCTCCATTAATTATATTTTTTTTTTAGTTGATGTATTTGATGAACTTGGATGAGGAATGCAATTACGCACGAACCGCTTGGATTGTAGGCTTCTCACTATATTGTTGGAATTCAGGCTTCCTTATAATATCCTTCTCAGCCAACTGAGAAACCTATTCTCCACCACGGAACGTCAGTGTGGGATTATAACAATGGCCAGCTTTTTTAGTTCATTCTTAATTCTGATTAATATATATTTATATATATAATTATAAATTATAAAAGGGATCATTTATAAAAGGAGCTGAGCATGAATGCTGGATGAACCTAGAAATGGAAGTAAAAATTAATGGCATAGGAATTGAAAAAAGAATTGTTGATCAATTAATAATATATATGGCGTTGGCTAACTTAATATATATTATAAACTGACTATATTAATAAACACACATCAGATACATTATATTAAAACTAGAAAAAAAAAATAATGCACAAAAATATATTCACTGGATCAGACGATCAGCTATCTATATATTGTCCACTGCTCATGATGGTTTATAAATTATATTTAAACTTATATTAAATACAGCTATATTGAGATTTTAAATTAATATTCAGAATATTAAAAACAATAATTAATGAACAGCAGCTAGCTAAAAAAGCTGATCATGGGCGGCGCCATAATTGTTATAATAATTGGATATCGATCAACAATATATAGCTGTAATATGATCTCTTTTTATAATATTCTAGATGATTTGTTGATTCAATTATTAAATTGTCGTGTACAATTCGACGGCGAAAACATTGATCAATTGATCATTATAATGCATGATCGACATTAATTCTAGTGCAGCGCCAATATTATCATGATGTCGACCCGAGAGCTAGACGTACTTATATACGTACTGATATTGCAGGGTTCAAACTATATTATACTATAAGTCCAATAACTAATCGGATATCTTCTATCTGCATATTGTTGAGTACATAATATCTTTGTTAAATCTATTATAATTACGTCTAGACGTCTCTTTCCCGAGTCAATAATTCGCCTACAGCAGGTACCTGTCAACGGACTCTTATCTCCGACCCGATAAGCGAGCTCATTGGAATTTGGTACCCATTCCTCACATACACATATTGTGTCACACAGTAGAAGTGACAACAACGTCCACTAGTTGTAGCTTTGAAGCAGTAAATTGGCTAATTCAAGAACATATAATCATATCACATCCAAAAATGAGGTACTTGTCATCGATGCAGATTGTTTATGGACGTCTGGAGAAAAGATAGTTCAATCAGCTTTAAAATAACGTCAAATTGATAGATCAATCACGTCTTCTGAGTTATTGTTTCATTTGAAGAGCTAGAAGAAGAAGAAATAGTAACCAAACTTTGATCATTAAGCCATACTTCACAAAGAGCTCATATTAGTTAATGAACAATCATCTCGCTGCTCAACAACTCAGGCTCGAGTCATGGTAATTCAGTTGGTTCATCTATCATCTCCTGTAAATAATTTACAAGGTTTCATATTGCTCTGTAACTTTATAATGACGACTTACATCGACACTGCCAATTGGTACTTTCAAGCCGAACCGAGAGCATTCCCAGTGTATATTGGTGTCTTGAATTGTATAAACTAAAAGCCCCCCAAATCTAATCCATCAGTCACTGGATATGATGCTCACAGATCCCGAATTATTCAAACACAAGACAACACCGCACACCTTTACAAATTGTTTAAGCATTTCAGATAGGTAATACGTGCTAGCTTATCCTTTGATTCTTTATTCATGACTTGTATGCGAAAAAAAAACGTACTGTGGCTTACAAGATCTCTGAAAGTGAAATGCAATCTGACAACAATTTCGTGAAAGTTTCAGGCTACAAAATTGAATTTCTGTCATATCGACAAGATGAACTGGGGGTCTCAGCAGAGCTACAATATTAAAAGTATTTTCAATCACAGAAGCTAGTGGGCAGACGTGAAAAGCATCTACAGTGTGGAAAGTCAAACTCCTGATTAAATACTCAAAGCTAAATCAGATGGAACTTCGAATTTTGCGCTCACAGGGAAGATCAATAGTAGTTGATACTTGTTACCGGTTTGAATTGGTGTGGCATTTTAGTTCGCTTTGCGTTAGCTATTCAATTAATCAATAAAGCACCACCCATATAAATTTAAAGTTTTGATCTCCTTCTTTATAAATTTATATTCAAATGATTCCAAAATCATCAAGAAATGTTAAGAGCTTTCACTATTAAACTTGTTCCTTACAGCTGCGTTATTAGACCAACGAGATCCTTTTCTGCAAGTTCCATTAGAAATGGGCTTAAAGTTGGACTGGAAGGTACTGCTATAGGGCTTACCCAATCACTAAAAGTATTGGGGGATGACCACGTCAACCATGTAATCAAGGTAAGTTTTCAAAACATCACCAAATTAGCTCAATGAAAACCATGTTTCTGACATAGGCGAATTAGACAGATTGTTTTGAGTCGCTAGGTGGTGCAGACCTGCATCCAGATCCAATTCAACTGCTTTATAGTAGTATCAGTGGTTGTCAAAACATTACAGCCAATTTAGTTGCAAAAGGTAAGCAGAAGTCTTGAAGATATGTTACACTCACTCTTTGTACTAACTTTTGAAGACAACGGTATCAAAGTTGGAAAGGCTAAAATCACAATTGAAGCTGATCATGATATAGTTGATAAAACACCAGGTAAATACCCCGGGTTTTTAACAAGTTCAGTGATTGTCAATTATGAGCTTGAAACGGATGCCAATGATGAACAATTCGAAAGATTGAGAGAAGAAACAGAAGCTAAATGCCCAATTGCCAATGTTTTCATCAATAGCTCTGGATTGAAGTTCACCAGTAATTGGATTAATGTACCATTGAGATAATTCAAGTGAGGGAGCTGTGTATCACTATTTTTTGAAAGTAGTACAAAATTACAAGTGCTTAAAACCTGTAGGAACAATGCAAGCCTTCGCATTTTGAGACGCACTAGCGTCGCCAGCTTTAGTCACCTGACCTGACTTAGGTTTCAGAAATGTTTGGATGTTGTACTAACGCTGTTTTTTTTTAGTGAACCAAACTCCCATGGCAGAATGGTGAAAAAAAAAGTAGCCTAATCAAAATATTCAAAAAAGCTTTCTGGAAGACCTACTAGTTTACAGAAAATCATCAAAGATCATTTTTGAGTACCCTTTAAATATCCTTTCCTCAGAAATATAAATAAGTCGAAATGGGAGGCGTTCGTGAAAAAAAAGTTGAATACTTCGCTAAATTAAGAGAATTATTAGAAGAATACAAAAGTATCTTCATTGTTGGTGTTGACAATGTCTCATCTCAACAAATGCATGAAGTCAGAAAGGCTTTGAGAGGTAAAGCTGTTATCTTGATGGGTAAAAACACCATGGTTCGTCGTGCTATCCGTGGTTTCTTGTCTGAATTACCAGATTATGAAAAATTATTACCATTCGTTAAAGGTAACGTTGGTTTTGTTTTCACCAATGTTGATTTGAAAGAAATCAGAGATATCATTGTTGCTAACAAAGTTGCTGCTCCAGCCAGAGCCGGTGCTTATGCTCCAGCTGATGTTTGGGTTCCAGCCATCAACACCGGTTTAGAACCAGGTAAAACCTCTTTCTTCCAAGCTTTAGGTGTTCCAACCAAGATTGCTAGAGGTACCATTGAAATTGTTTCAGATGTTAAAGTTGTTGAAGCCGGTGCTAAAGTTGGTCAATCTGAAGCTTCTTTGTTAAACTTGTTAAACATTTCCCCATTTACTTATGGTTTAGCTGTTCTTCAAGTTTACGACAATGGTCAAATTTTCCCACCATCAGTTTTAGATATCACTGATGATGAATTAGTTGGTCACTTTGTCTCAGCCATCAACACTATTGCTTCAATCTCATTAGCTATTGGCTACCCAACTTTACCATCTGTTGGTCACTCCGTTGTCAACTCTTACAAAGATTTATTGGCCGTTGCTATTGCCACTAAATATGTCTACCCAGAAATCGAAGAATTGGTTGACAGAATTGAAAACCCAGACAAGTACGCTTCTGCTGCCCCAGCTGCTGCTGCTGCTACCTCTGCTGCTTCCGAAGCTGCTCCAGCTGAAGCTGCTGAAGAAGAAGCTGAAGAATCTGATGATGACATGGGTTTCGGTTTATTCGATTAGGTTGATTAATGTTTAGTTTTTCTGTGGTGATAAGTATCATGAATAATTGAACGTTTTTTAATTCGAATATGAGTTTGTAGAGTATCAAGAACGAGAAATGTTTATCTAAAAGACATATACAAATCTCTATTTTCTGGTTGATTCCATATGATTCTTGAATCTTTATCAAAAAGTCATTTTTGAATGTACTGCCATTTTCCGAAGTGGCGAGGGCCCCACCGCTTCTGCCCAGCTCTTGAAATTGATCCCTATAAGAATTCTCCCAAATCTTGAGAGTATCTCGTTTTCAACAATTATAACAATCATTCACTAATCGAGCAAGGCTTCTGTCTAATCAGATAATCCATCTTGAGATTCAGTTTGTTTTAGTGATTAGCTTATAGAATGTCCGGGAAAGGTGCCCCTAAAGTTCCTGATGGTTGGAAAGCTCAATTTGATGATAAATATCAAACATGGTTTTATGTTAATTTAAAGTCTGGGAAATCACAATGGGAAGCCCCAGAAGGTACTACTTTCGAAGGTAAGCTAATACTCAGCTGATTCAGATTCAAGGCTTAGAAACTAACATTTTGATCTAGATGACAAAGAAAAGGTAAGCCCTCCACCTTATGCTCCAGGTAATCAAACTTCAGACCCTTCAAAGCAACAAGAACCAGTTTCACAACAACCCTCTGGCTATCAAAGAGGTCCACAACAACAGTATCCACAACATCCTCAAGCTGGGTATGGATATCCACCACAACAAGGTAACTATATATCATTCTCCGATGTTGTGATTCATTTTTACTAACAACATTCGTGTATAGGATATTATCCACAGCAAGGTTATCCTCCACAACAAGGGTACCCACCACAAGGATACCCACAACAGGGTGAGTCAATTCAAGTTTGATATCATTAAATTGGTTCACTAACTTTGTTTTTCTCAGGTTATTACCCACAGCAACAGCAACAACAACAACAATCTAGTAAGTTGCCATAATTCATTTTTTGATATTCAATTGAACATGGAATGCTAACTATATTGAAATAGGATTTGGAGGTGCTGGAGGAGGTGGAAATCGCTGGGGTGGTGCAGCAATGGGTGCTGGTGGTAAGTATAGAGTTGTACTTTTGTACTCGAAGTCTGAGTTACTAATGTTTATTTAGCCGGTTTATTAGGTGGTATGGCCTTATCTTCCATGATGCAACCAGATATTGTATATGCTCAACCTCCTCCTGGTGATTATGGTGGCGATTATGGTGGTGATTACGGCGGTGATTATGGCGGTGGTGATGATTTTGGAGGAGGCGATTGGTGAGCCAGTAAATATGGTTTCATACTTTGTTGAGCGAAAGGCTATGTGATTGTCTATTATTTCATTTTGTATTTGGTTTATTGTATATGACACAGTCACTATCAAACGAGCCAGTTAGTTTTTAGTTGAACTGTTTGTTTCATTAACATCCATAATTCAATGATTATCGATTGGATCATTTGACTCGCTCTATCAAAGCTGCAAATGTAGTGCATGACTCTAACAGTCACTTGTCCATTCAAGTATTGTACCAATATCTCATGGTGATCTCTCTATTTTATATTTGCCGACATTTAACTTGTAATGAGAATATTAGTTTTCTCGAATCAGCCGACAGCTTAATGTGCAACGAGAATTGAATTATACACTGGAAGAATTATGCTCAAAAGTTGTGCTCAACTATATTCACAATATAGAATACTAATGAAATGGCTCTCCTATATAAATAGTGGTAGACTAGACTGTTTGAATCCGTTGAATAGGGTTTCTTCCAAGTTTACCTACAATTACATCAACATTAGTTATGAAGGCCTCTTTATTTTTTGGTTTGATTTTTTTGACAGCCTGCAATGCAACGTCTGTAACTACAAAAACGCCATTAGCTACATCTGAATCAAAAGAAGGCTTAAGTAGAAGCCCTATTTTTGACACAAAACTAGTTGGCAAGAGAACTGATGACTTAGCTGTCCCGTTGTTTGGGGATTATGAGACTAGTGACAATGTTTATAAACAGTTTGAGGAAGAAGCATATGAAGACGAAGATGAATATTTGAAGGGAAAAACATTTGGTCGTTTAGCTAAAAGACTTTTTGGGTTTGGCTCCTCTGGAAGAGGTAGTAGCTCATCATCGCAATCTGGGGGAAGATCAGGAGGCTCTTCATGGTTTGGAGGAGGTTCAAGAGGTTCATCAGGCTCCAGAGGTTCAAGTAGTTCAGGATCTTCAGGCTCCAGAGGCTCTAGAGGCTCTAGTGGATCTAGTGGATCTAGTGGCTCACGCTCGTCAGGAAAGGGTGGTAATTCTGGATCCGGTGGTTCAAGAAGTGGTGGTTCTAGAGGTTCAGGTTCAGGATCTAATAGATTAAGTGGGAACAATGGTGGCTCAAGAGGTTCAAACGGTGGATATGGACCAGGCTATGGTTCGAATGGAGGTTATGGACCAGACTATTCAGGCCGTAGAGGTAGTGGTTGGAGAAACCCAGCTCTTGCTGGGGCAGCAGCAGGTCTTGGATACTATTATATCTGGCATCATGATAGATATGGCCATTCTCATATTGTTAGAACAGAGACTCGTTATCTTGCTGAAAATGTTACATTCACTTCAGCCATTTTTGAGAACGGTGGAGTAGCTACTTCATTTAGGGCATTGAATGTAGCCAAAACTGATGATTATAATTATTGGAAAAAATTGATGCCCTCTTTTATAGTTTGCATTGCTACAATCTTGATTTCTTGTATGTGATATTTTGATTTGAATTATATTGTTTTTTATTATGAATGACTCCTTGAAGATTTCCAGTGTAGTTATAACCTTGAAACAATATATAATTAGTTGCACAGCTTGGTTGATTGCATTGTAGAGGTGATGTTTAGTTTGCCTACAAGCAATGTGTAATATTTATTGTTTGCTCAACAAGTTAACAGCACTATCAATTTGTTCTGTGGCATAAATATCAATCCATTAAGAAAGAACAATTTCAGTCAAAAATACGATGGAATGGAAAATTCAACTAGTGGCACATATAGACCATGAAGTGATAGGAAATTTAACTGTGAAGTATAGCTATGATTGATCCACTAGCTCCTAAAAGATAGTCATTTAAAGTGCAAATTTCATATGTAATAAATCTAGCTTAATGGAATAATATCAGACATATGACCCTAAGACTTCCTCTGTGAATCAAGTTGGCATTGCTGTCATAAAATAGACAATTAACTGTCAAACCTTGAGTAGATACATTAGCCCAGACTCCAGTTTACTATTCCACACCCTGTTAAAAATCCTTGCGTATAGTAATTCTAATCAAAATTGTCACGAGTGACCATTCACTAATGTTCTTGAAGTTTGGTGTCCTATCAGGATCCTAATTAGCGGAACCTTGGATCATCAACAGCTCACATAGTTCCCATGAATATAATAAATTTGTGTTTCAATTAACAACTAAGTAAATTGATACAAACCAAACGAATTAACAAATTACCAATGTCAACGTCAGGTACATAGACCCTTATTACCACAGCTGCAAAATCAGATTCAACTCCTCCCTCAGACCTTCATACGTTCTCTCACTTCCCTGCTACATACCACGAGCAGCCAAGACCAAGGAATCGTTATAGTGGATAGCAAAGCTTATTATGATCCCTGATAATTGGTTACAAGTTGAATAAAACAAATCGTATGTGTCAACTTGATCCGCGCTAACCAGGGAGACGTCATGATGTGAATGTAAAGCAGTGAACGAGTCGGCTCTAGCACGATTGGACCGTAGTGTACCCCATAATAAAACACTCAGTAGCAGCAGCCATGATAAGTCACGGTGATTGAATTCATTAACCCGTCTTTGATGGTACAAAAGTTTGTTAAAGCCCTCTCAGCCCGAGTATGAATGTTGAGCTGTTGAAGTTTGAGCTATTCCATCAGCTTAATCGCGATCATACCATGGATAGATTGATCCGATTCCGACATGGTTGCAAGCAGTACTGCCCAACCATGAAAACCACTGTGAAAGCATTCTTCTTATCCACCAACACGATCCCTTGGAATACACAGTTTGCTTTGGTGTTTCCGATTAGCTCAGTTCTTGCTAAGCTGGGCCCAGAAAGAAGCTCGGGATGCTCATCTTAGCCAGCCGTTAAAAAAAGTCTTCCTCGAGACACCAAACGCGATGCTCTTAATGTACACCATAGACAAACCAGACCAACATTAATCAATTTAACTGTGAAAACGGCTCTACTTGCTTCTGAACGTCCTCTATTAAAACCACAAATACTGACTTGTTCCCATGTTGCAAGTGTGAGTTTTCATGAACAATTGTGACTTCGGCACTAAAAAAGTGACAAAAAATACCCGAGAAGTGAAAAGAAATTAACGTCGAATCTAAATAACAATACCATCCATCGATGAGCTATATAAATAATAAACATCTCGCTTTGTCAAAAAATTGGGTAACCACTTCTATTTGTCATAATAAAGTTTGGCAAGTCCCTTAAACCCATCCCATTAGCACTGCAGCTAGTTAATTATAAATAGTGACACTGTTCACCAGTACTTTATGCTACCAATAGATGGTTCCGTGATCTTTTAATATCGCCAATATGAGTAAACTGATATCCAAGATCACAGCTAGATCTAATTCAACTACAAATGATCAAAAGAACCAACCACCAGTGCTCTCATCTAGTAAAGCTAGTGCCGATGATTATCATGAAAGTATGAACAAACTACATTCAATTTCAATGTCTAGAAGATCATCTTCAATCTCTAAAAAGACAACAGCTGCTTCATTATCAATATCTACATCATCTATTTCTGATAATGATGCCACAAACTTGAAACCAAAAGTCAAATCTCCAGATTGGTCCATACGATATGATCCAACATTATCTGTGTATTATTATGTTAATGACAAGACTAATGAAATTCAATTTGATCATCCAGATGAAGTTGTATCTCCAACAGCTTCTCCAAAAATCAAGACAGATCCATTCAATAACAATCCATCATCTTATGATACAGATCATAGAAAAATATTCAGTACAAGTTTAAAAAGAACATTATCACCAAAATTTTTCTCAGGCATGAACAGTTCTAGCTCGGAGAAATATTTAAAACCAAGATCAAAACCACAATCACCAAGAGATTCAATAGATGTTCAATCAAAGTCAACAACTTTAATACCCAATAAATCAGAGGCAGATGATTCTGAAATGGATGAAGATGTTGAAGAGTTTAGGAAACAACTAGAATTGGAAATGAAGACATACGAAATTGAAAGATTGAGAAGTACATAAGGATGGTGAAAGGCTGTAAAGATATAATGAAAAATTTAATACTAATGAGAACTGATAATTAAATGAGGATAAGAAAATAATGGCACATTATGGCAAATAATTTAATCAACAACAATTTATTCTTGTCTATAGGTATGAAACTAGAAAAACACGAAAAAAACAATGGCTAATGAATAATGAATTGTTATAATGCTGTAGTGAAATCATATTTTTTTAGATTTTCTTTGAACTGGTTGTATAACTTTCTTTGGTTCGGAACTTGATGATTTTGATTCAACCGCTTGATTTTTGGTTTCAGTATCAGTTTTTTCTTCAGCCAACTCATTGTTATCTTTCAAGTCAGACTTTTCCAGACTATTGATTTCATTAATAAACCATGTTAATGTAATCCATAATAAAATTGATATAACTAATAAGTTGATTAAATGTATTGATTTTGAGTAAAGTGCAAAAAAAGACAAAGTGATAACTAATGATGCAAATGTAAGATGAGTAGCCAATATCAAAGCTGGTGAGGTACCTGGTGTAAGCACCGATTTCCATAATTCATTAACAAAATCCATAGTTTTTCTATCAAGAGCTTTATTGATGGATACAAAAGAAGTTCAAAATTTGTTGATTTTGAATTTTTATCCTACTTATACATTCATGTATTCGCGACCTTTTTGAATTTTTGATTTTTCGCTGGCACTTTGGAAATTATCTCTGTTGTTCAGACTTCATGATAACAATATTTTCTGTTCAGGTTTACTCACAATGTCCACTACTTCCACAAGCAAGTTTGCACCAAAGACGCCTGTTCAGCTGGATCCACCCAAATATGACCCAATAACGAAAAAAGAATTGGCTGAATACGATGGTATGTATGCGTGTGGGCTTCTGATTGCATTCATCTAACAAAACCATTGTGATAACAGGAGTACAAAAACCTCAGAGATACATTGGTGTGAAAGGGGTAGTGTTTGATGTTACAAAAAACATACAAGCTTATGGCCCAGATTCCAAGTATGGTGTATTTGTAGGGAGAGATGCAAGTAGAGCACTTGGGAAATCGAGCTTGAAAGAAGAAGATGTTGATTTGAAAATAAGTGATGATATATCTGATTTCACAGAGAAACAATTGAAAGTGCTAGATGATTGGTTTAGCTTTTTCAGTCAAAGGTATGATATGTTGATTTTTTAAGATTTAGGCACATTACTAACATGTCTGAAAAGATACAACATAGTTGGGAAAATTGTCCAGTAAAATAAAGGCTCTAGTGCTTCTGATACTAGTTGTTCCCTTTGAAAAGTTGTATTAATCACAGTCTAGTTGATGTTGTTGGTTGACTGCCTATTCTGGCAGAACGCCAAATACGTTTGTGCCAATATTCGCTTGATGTCAGGGACCTGTAGATTCCGTTTTTCGAGAACACACTGAGAAATAACTCACACACACACCTGGACTGCTGCTAAATGAATGTTGAAATAATTAATCTACACCCATAACGTACTCTTTTAATTCCAATCCCATACGCTGGGCCACTGTGGTTTTACTCTTGTTTTAAGCTGTCAGTCTGCGCGCGCTCGCTAAAACCCAGTTGTTTTTTTTTCTTCGGTCAGGGCGAGATTTGCATATTTTTTCTCTCGCGCTAGACGAGCTAAACAACATCAACAACTCAACTAAAATAAATTATCAACAGCACTTGTGGGACATAACCTTGAAACCACAGAACGAACAACAACAGTCCGCTTGGCTCATTACACTTTATAGCAAGAGAAGCTACAATACATTCGTTGGGAAACACACACACAGAGACACACAACACGGGTGCTGCTACAACTACTGCCTCCCTCATCATTCATTAAAGAGTTAACATCATTTTTATTACAAACTACATTGACGAAATATCAACAACTCACCAAGCTATACCATGTACCAGGCTCCAAAGAAGAACAACGGTCATAATGCTGCCTTGAGGAACCAACTTCTGAGTACTGACATTGGGAATATCGATGTTCGTGATGAGGTTCCTATAAATAACCAACAACATTTTGATCCGTATCCTCAACAACAATTCCACCCTCAACCACAACCTCACAACAATATGAATGGATACTCTATGCCTCAGGGTCAAGGTCCTCAACGATTCAATGGACCTCCACACCCCCATACACAGTACAATAACTTTCAACAACGTCCAATGCCTCCCTCCATGCCGTTTGCTCCTCCTGGTCAACCTCGCTCAAGAAGATCTTCTTTACAAAGTAACCACTCTTCATTCAATATGTCATCCATGAACAATTTCTTTAAAGGCTCAAAATCAAAGTTTACAGGGGGTGGTGATGATGATGATGACGAAGATGGGAAAGATGTGATGATTGACGACACTGGTAATACAATGTCTTTTGATGATTTGACAACAATCAAAGATCGTGGTCGTTATGGAGGTCAATCAAGTTTCGATTCTACTCCTATAATTCCAACATTACAAACAAGTGCTTCAAGATCATTCAATTCAAGCTCCGTGTCCAATGTTCAGTATCGTAAACAAATGACTGCATTCAAGAAACAAGCAATGGTCAATGCTGGTAAAATGAATGATCCAAGAGCTATGTCTTTACAAACTGGTCCAGCAGGGGGCAATCCTTATCTAGAAGCAAGGGATCCAAGGGCAATGTCTTTACAAGGTAATAAAAATCCTTATGGTCCAGATCCAAGAGCTATGTCTTTACAAGGAAGAAATCCATATCAAGAAATGAATAATGACCCAAGGGCAAGATTTATGAATGGTCAACCTCGTCCAAATTTGACACAACCAAGAACAAATTCATTGACAAATCAACCTTATCAACAAGGGTCGCCCAGGGCTTACTCTTTAACAACAAACCCTTATCAACAGGTGAATAACCCAATGGCTAGAACTCCAATTAATAATGGTGAACTACAAGCTCCAAATCAACATTTTATTCAATCTGGTGCCAATAATAGCCCGAAATTTGGTTCTCAACCAAGTTTAGTTCCTAATAGAAATTCTGGTTCTGGGATTCCACAATCATTGCAGCAAAAAAGACAAGTACCCTTACAAAATGGATTTCAACCTCCAAAACCACAAAATATGGCAAATTCATTTGGTGGATACAACCCTTCAACTCCAACAATTGAAGAAGCTCCATCTTTACAAGATACTGAAAGTCAATACTCTGAACCCCCAAGTGCTACTACTACTGTTGCTTCAAGAAAACCACCACCAGTTTCAGGAGATTTTTCTCATCATTACTTGGCTGATAATACATTGAATACTAATGATCACTTGGATGATTCAGGTGCCACATACTCTGATTTTTCAAATGATAAGTCATTTATTCCTCCAAATGAAGAATCAACACCTTCACCTGCTGAACATTTTGATAACAATAGAAAGGCACTGGTAAATAATCGTCTTGATTTGAATGATCAGGATACGTTTGATGATGAAGGTACTCCTTCAAAATTACCAAGATCAAAGGGTTTACCACATTTAAGTTTATTGAAAATTAGGGATGAAGATTCTGATGAAACAATTGAAGAAACGTCTCAACAACCCGAGCATATACATCGTACCTTAGAGTCTGTTGCTGAAAGTGAAGATCCAATCACAAATAGACGGACTTCAACTCCTCCACCTCCACCAGTTTCATTTGAAAACTCAAGAAGAAACAGTCCAACAAAGGCTGCTTCTCCATCATCTTTTGCAAGTCCTGGGAGAAAGTATACTTCACCAAGTAAAAATATGCCACCGTCACCTTTGAAGAGAACATTTAATTCAGAAAATGTCAACACTCATAAAAGATTCCCAATGTCGATTTCTTCAATGAGTGAATATTCAACTTTTAGTGGTGTTTCTGATGGCTATGAAAATGGAGATCTTGATTCAAAGAAAAAACTATATCAACTAGCTGGAAATTCAGGTACAGCAAATGATGTCTTCGTTACTGCTTCACAATTTTCATTAATGGATAATAGTAACAAGAATGATAATCATCATCATAGAAACAAAAGTTCACAATTCAGCTTCAACAATGAATATCCAGAAACAATTACAGAAAATGATACTGGCTCATCATACACCGCTACACCAAAACTTGATTATCATGACCAGGAAACACCTGTTATTGAACAACAAAAAAGACAATCTTATAATCCTAGTGTATCAAGTGCTAATGAAACAGGAACTTTGAGAAAGTCATCAACAACAGACTCTGCTTCTATAAAGTCATCAAGAAGTAATAATGGATCTATCAAAAGTTCGTTCAAATCCCCAAGTTTCTTACAAAAATGGTCTAGAAAAAGAAATGAGAAGAAGAAAAATAATTCATTTGAACCTGTTACGAAACCTGTGGAAATCAAAACACCAACTGAAAGAAATAATCATCAGTTACCAGAAACCCCTGTTGATCGTGAACTATATGCCACCAATAAGGCTCCAGAGATGTCCAAGGGCTTACATATTATGAAAAATGAAGATGTTGATGAAGTTGAAAAAGTTCAAAGAAAAGATTCAGCCTCTTATAAAAGCCAAAGATTGTCTCCAGAAAGCCATTACAAAAAAAATATCAACGTGAAGTCTAGTGAAAGAGGTCTGGATGAATCCTCAAATATTGATAAAGATACCAATGCAACTAGTCAGCCAACTTCATCTGCTTCTGGTACTTCTGGATCATATTCAACTAATAATACTATTGATACTGAACTTGAAAATGATGATTCAGAGAGTCATGATTATGATAATACAAAAACAAGAACATTGGTTGAAAATTCTAATCCATTGCAACAGTCATTTGAGCCTGAGTTACCAACTTCAAGATCACCTCCAACTATTTTCAAGAAACTGAATTTAACTGTTGAACAACTAGGTATAATGGAAGAGAAGAGCTCTGTTGTTCGTGAACTAGAGTTTGTTTCCAAAGAACTTGGTGATTCAATTAAAAGAGAAATCAGACTTGAAGATCAATTGAAAAGCAAAGATATCATTTCAAGTCCAAACTTGAATTATGAAAATGAGCTCAGAAATAAGATTTTGTTCATTAGTGAACTAGAAGAGAAGTTGAATGAAGAGAGAAGAAAGAGATACATTGCTGAAGAACATGTTTTGTTATGGGAAAATGGTTCAGAACCTTCTGCTTTGCAATTGAGTTACGAGAATGAAAAATTACAATCTGAATTGATGAACAAAGATGAAATAATCAACAACCAAGCTTCGGAACTTGATTCATTTAGGTTGGGAACCCCCAAAAATGAGGATGAGGTTGAAGCTTTAACCAAAACAAACAAAGAGCTTGAGACTGTCACAATTCCTTCTTTGAAAAATGAAATTGAAGTTTTGAATAATGATAAGAAGCGTTTGTCTACCATCACTGAAAAATTCAAGCTGCTGAAAATTGAGAACGCTGAACTGGAGAGGAAACTACAGGATGCAGATGATATGAAAGATCTCCATTCTAAACAACTAGAAGATGAACTTGTTCAGATTAAACAAAAATATGAAAAAAGAATCCACAAGGGTAATGGTGAAGATACTAGATTGACAAACAACACAAGTCCTGTGAATCATAGACTCAAGAAAACTTTTTTGAACGAATTAGGATCTTCAAATAGCTCATTTGATTCGTTAAAACCACAGTCACCGATTAATGGGAAAAGAATTACTTCATTTTCACTAATTAATGTGACTTCACCTAATGACAAATAATAATAACGTGGAAGGGGAAAGGAATTGAGATTAGATCATAAACTCCATCATTATAATTATAAACATTAAATACTCATGCATTTTATTTGGTTTCAATAATTGTAGTACTTTGGTCATGGGGACACATTAGTTTTCAGATCTCACGGGTAACAGTCGTGCAAATCTCAAAATTCAACCATAAGCTTGAACCAAAATTGTGCCAGCGTCTAAATCTTACACTTTGAACTTTTTACAATATATTAACTCCAAACTAATAATCATAAGTGACTAGATTTTTACCAACTGTCACAATGAGCGGTTTCAATAGAAAGAGAAGATTTGGTTAGTATTGACATGTGATTATACATTCTGATTAAATGTAAAACTAATAAGCAAAAAGGTAATGATGATTATCAACAGCCATATCAGAAAAGGTTTCGTTTGCCGCCAATTGTCGAGCTATCGAAAACACTCTGTGGTGATATTAACACCCTAGGTGAGTCGTCAAAGAAGTATGTTGAAGATGTTGAGTTCATGACAGCACCAATCATTGGAAATTTTGAAAATGAAAAGACTTTGCGAGACGCTGTTTTGAATACGTTGTTTGCAGTTGTCACTGAACAACCACAAAAGGTTTTACATATCTCTGGGCTAGTACAGGTTGTCAATGCCAAAAAGTCGTCTATCGGTAAAACAATTGCTGAGTTTTTTCATCAAAAAGCACAAGAATTGATCGAACAATCAATAAACGAAGAAGTCATTCCAGAATCGTTTGAAACAGGTCCGTGGAATAAAATCAAACTAATTTTAAGATTTTTGTCAACTTTGTCAACTTTCATTAAAGAATCAAGCTTAGTGACCCTTTATAGTCAATTTTTAAAACATTCCATTGATTTGCAAAATAATGAACCAGAAAAAAGATGTCCTTTAGCTGAAGCTATTTATTATAACACCTTAATTTCAATTCCGTACCTCTTGTCATTTGGAGAGCCTTCAGAAGCTATGAAAGAAGGAATTGAAACAATCTTAAGGATAGCGGATGATTTTAAGTATGTTGATGAGGAGCTTACCATCACCAAACCATTTGCTGTTGATTCAAAGGCTCCATATGAGCCAAAAAATATCATAAGCTTAATATTACCTGCTGTGAAAGAGTTTTTTAAAGACGATTACAAAAAAGTCTTTTCGTTGTTTCCACAGTTGAGTCAATCATTGAAACATCTTTTGACAGAGTCAGAAGAATTTGGACTACCACAATTCTCAATTCCTGCAGTTGAAGCATTCAAGTATATTACTGGTTTAGATACAGGTTTAGGTAGTGTGGATGGTATGTGGAGAACACCTAGACTCACTTTTGAAGTATATTTACCAATACTTGGTTTTGACACCGTTCCAAAATCTTCTGATTATGCTGGTTTGCTTTTTGACGATATAGTGATTGATATTGTTGAAGCATTAGAATTCAATAGAAAAGAAGTTGCAAGACAAATCATTACATTGGATCTCTTTTTCGCTGATGGAGTGTTCGCCCCACCAGCAACTAGTATTGACCAATTGAAAGAGATTAATGCCAATAATGAAGAGCTTGAAAACAAAGCTAGTACATGGAAAACCGAAGATGTTGCTATTAAGAATGTGTTGTCTTTGATTTTTAAACTACCAACTGTTTCACAACCATTTGCATACTTCTATACTACCCTCGTTGAAGCTTGTACAAATGCTGCACAAGCAATTGCCCCAGTTCTTGGTAGAGCAATTCGTTTTTTCTACTCCAATATTCATACTGCTGATTTTGAACTAAGATTCAGATATCTTGATTGGTTAGCTGTTCAATTGAGTAATTTCAACTTCACATGGAAATGGCGTGAATGGGAAACAGATTCTATCAAAAACTCAAAAAGTAATTATCACCCAAGAATTGCTTTCATCAAAAACTTGATTTCAAAGGAGTTGAGATTAGCTACCAGGGAAAAAATTCAACAGACATTGACTGAAGAATTTCATCAATATTTGGACGTCAAGTTATTTGAAACAGAGGAGATCAAGGAATATTACGTATCATTATTTGGTGAAGAAAACTTGGAAAGTGCTGGCTTGGACTTTGCTGAGGATGGAAGTAAATTATTTTTTTTGAAAGAAAACCTTTCATTGAAAGAGGATACTGAAAAACTCATTGAAGTCTTTCATAAGGGATCCAACAAGGAATACAAGACTGTTGTCGATGGTGTTAGAGAAAAGGTTCAAAATTATCCTAATCCTGAAAAATTGGTGATCACCTTAGTTTTCCAAATTATAGCGTTTGTTGGTAACAGATCAATTTCACATGCTGGTAAATACATTGGAAACACTTTTGAGTTTTTGAGAAGTCTTCTTGGAAGGGAGTCAGAAATAACACAATCACCAAGTGACTCAACAAAAGGAGATGATAAAGATGAAACCATGAATGACGAACCAATCAAGGATGACAACGTTTCCTCCTTAAGTGAAGAGGAGAGCTTGGAGAGACAATTATGGGCTATTGATTCAATTTTAAAATATTGGAATTCTGCTCCAGAAAATGGATATTTAGTCTTGGATGTCTTGGAATCCTACGATGTTTTATCCCCAAAAGCTATGATTAAGTATTCATTAGATGACTCCCACAAAGTCAACTTTGGTTTGGTGAATGTTTCAGCAACAGAATCTATTTTCAGACTATTAACCAATGTTGCCTTCTCAGGAAAATCATCCGCTGAGTTCGAGTTTATTTTCAATGAGTTAATGGCCATTATTTCATCATCATTGAAGACAATCGAAAATAAAGGAGATATTGAAGTACCATCAGTTGAAGATGATTTCGATGAAAAAAATGAACATATTTGGAAGTACCAAACATCAATTGGATTTTTGAGAGCGGTGTTGAGAAAATACTCTGATGAGTATGTTAGTTTAGTTCCAAAGCTTGAAGAGTCTTTGAAATCTATTGAACATGTTCCTACAAAAGAACTAGTCGAAAAATGGTTCACAGAGTTGAAAAGTCTATAATTGTTGTTCACAAGCTAGAACTTGATAATTATTAGAGTGACGTGCTATATATATTACAATATCTTACAGTGGTTTTGTTTTTTGTAGCATTAGATGTCATTTATTCGTTAGGTGCATGGCCGATTAAACGACCTGGTAGTCAATTAACAGATGGTTGAAGGAAACAGGAAATCACATGGAATGGTGGGCTTCAGCACCGTATTCAGCTCTTTCATTTGAGAAAATTGATTTGATTTTATTGCTTTGGTAATATGTGGCATACATTCCATAAATTCCACTTGTGTAAAGTACTGTCATTCCAATCATGTATTTTGAGAATCTTCTCAATTGTGATCTACCAGTATTAGCAGCAACTGACTTGTTCATTTGAATAAAGGATCTTTGGAAGGATCTAACTAGTGATTGTGAAACCATTTTAGATAATTGAAGTGTTTGATATTTTTGAGGATTGAATAAAATGCCTTGCAAAATATCTATACCATTTTACAACTAGAGGATGTGCTGGTATTTATACTTAATACTACAGTTTAAACCACCTTTAGTTTTTCCTTAATTGTCCTTCTGCTCAGTGCTAACGAACTAACCATGATGGTACAGATTCCGAATGGTTCCTCAAACCAGAGGTCAAATGATTCGATATTTGCTTCAAAATTTGCTTGTTTGGGGTTTGGGATAAACCCAAGTGCTTCAAAATTTAAAATCACGTTACAAATATAAAATTGTCACAGACGTATTTACTTGATCCCCATACTTCAGAAGTCATCTCACACGTACACAAGTCAAGATTGAAAATCGTGCAACCGTTGTGGCATGATAAAAAAAGTTTATCATAAGTCAAAGCTTATGTCAGCACAGTGGAAAAATTAAAAAAATATTATTAGATGATAAACACTGTCTTTTTAGTTTATCCACTGAAAGTGCCAGATTATAAGTAAAGCATTTCAAAGCGTGGTTATGAGTTTGACTTCGTAAGTAGACTAAACATGATCCTGTTCAATATGACCGAAGCTTGATTGTGATGAGATGGTTGTGAGTTGATGTAAAATCTGCAATAATGGTGCTCTAATGAACAATTGTTCAAATAAGTACTTACACGGAATGGAGATAGTTTGTGAGTTTCAATTTTACATTCAATAATCATGAAAGTTCACAAAAGGTAGCTGATTCCAACATTAAGATTACAAAAGTGAAACAGGTGAGAATAAAGCATTCGATTCATTGGGTCTTTACATGTTATAGGTTGTAATTGGTCTATCCAAAGAATGTACATGCATAGCTTAAGCTGTTCTATTTAGCTTACAGGCAGTAATTTCTCTGAATGCACACCAGAATCTCACAATCCAGGCTTCAAGAGAGCTTTACATTTTACCTATATGATTTTGAAGTTACTAACAATTGTGGATAGATAGCTCATGCTCTGAAATTCTTGAAAATTTGGCAAATGTTCTGTTGTACACTTTTTGGGCATCGAAACGTAAAGTAATTGAAATAATGCAATTATTCTTACATCAGACTTTGATGCCTTTAAACCCAGATCAAGATCAATGGATGGATTGAGCATTAGCTTAATTTTTTTCAATTCTTCAAACGGAGTTTGTTTCTATCATTTTAAAGATCCACTCGGAACAAATCTAAAGGCTTGAGAATACATCACTTAAAACAAAACATATAAGATTGTATGGTTGGTATATACAAGAATAAACTAAAATGCGATATATTGACTATGTTTATTCATCTTCTAATGGAACCAAAAGATTTTTCTTTTCCAACAATTCAGTCAATTCACCAGATTGTGCCATAGAAGTAACAATATCACATCCACCAACAAATTCTTTTTCAACATACAATTGAGGAATGGTTGGCCATTCACTGAATTCTTTGATCCCATCGCGTAATTCTTGATCTTCCAAAACATTGTAAGCAGCGAATTTTTCAGGATCAACACCAGTAGTACCCAATATATTTATGGTAGCTCTTGAAAACCCACATTGAGGAAACTCTGGGGTACCTTTCATGAACAGCACAACAGGGGCTGAAGCGACAGCTTTTTCAATAGCATCTTTTGTTTCGGTTGATAATAATCTTATAAAAGATGATTGCGTTGATCTTAAAACTGGAGAACGAAACTAAGAATAATTTGTTAGTTTGAAGGACGAAGAGGGCCGCAAAGATGACAAACACTTACATGGCTTATTGGACGGAGGAATGAAGTTTTGAACATGATGATTGTCTGGAATAAACGAACTCACTTATAAATGAATACTTCAAAAGACTACTATTCTTCAAGAACCGATTTGTAATTTTTGCAAATAAGTATCGGTAACTACACACATCAACAGCTTTGATTACATAAGACTAATGTCGAAAAGCAGCGTATGATGAGCTACTAACACTCGTTGAAAACTTAAAAGGTCTCCAGAAAGTAAAGCTCAGAGGAGAGCTGGTTTCAAAGAGACTTTCGAATGTTTTATGGTGAGCTTCTCTGACAATTGTACAGTGTTTAAATTTATACTGCAAATTGTTACCCAATATAGTGCAGCTTCGCGAAAAATGCGAACAAGGACCTGGAAATTTTTAGACCAATGACTCTTCGTCGAAACGAAAGAGCTGAAATATTCAAAAATCTGATTCGCAGAGAGCCCACTTTCTTGCTTTCGTAGTTTCTAGCAGAGAGTGAGCACAAGGGATCAGAAGAGTACCAGGAGCGAGTTCCACTTATAGTGATCCAGCGAAGAGTGGCAAAGAAAATCGTTTGTAGTACTGAGAACGTTGTCTCTTGGTTCCTTTCAACGCGAACAATAAGAAAAGCGAAGAGTTTCCGTAAACAGAACTTTTGCAGAAGCCTCTGACGTCAGATTCAACGTAATTCTCGCCAATGCTCTGAAACAATACCAGATCGAGTATTTTTTTGCCACAGATTTTCGCCAAAACAGCACGAGTTTTGTTTGGGCGCAAGCGCAAATACAAAAACCTATTTTTTTTTTCTCTATTCATGATGAATCAAGGAAACGAAGAAGGCTCTACTTCACGCTGACAACTGGATCTACTCACATTGTTACAGAGAGAGAATTAGAGTAACTGTTCCAAAGCAAGCTCACACTGCTTTTGTTCAAAGAACTGTTCGGTTTTCTTTGAAAGTCATTGGGTTACAATTCGCAGAGTATCTTCACATTGTGGGTATTCTTTGTTTGGTGGGTGATTCAACTGTGCTCTTCCTTCCTTCAGTTCAAGATCAGATAAACTGCTATCGAAAGATCAACAAGGCGCTTTTGAGCAAGAAGAAGTTAGTGGTGTATTCAACTGTTTGAAAAGTTTTTATCAAGTATCAACATCTTACTATTCATTGAAGTGGTTTAACCGCCATTGGAAAAGACAATAATAATATTTATCCAAAAATGCCAGATCAATCAGAACAACAGCAACAACAACACTCTGGGGTTGCCTCCCAAGATTCAGATCCTCGTTCACCTCAAGCTCAAAATAAACCTGCTCTTTCTATTCTCAATAAGTCAAACTCATCACCGGTAAAATCACAAATTGCAAATGAGAATCAAATCAAAAGGTCAAACAACTTGAAACTAAACACCACAAGCTCTGGTCCAGCAAATTCATCAACTATTTCAACACCAGATATGATAACTCCAACACGCCCTTCGGTTGTTCCTACGCAATTTCCAACTGTTGCCAGTGATGTTCCTGGCTCAAATAAATATGGATCTGTCTCTTTTACTGTTCCTGACCAAACGGAAAAGTCACATAGAGGGTCAATCAGTGCAAGACCTTCATCAGTTCAAATTAATACACTGGGCCAGCCTATCCAAACTCAAAAGGTCACACAACCTGTCCAACAACATCATCCTACATCTGCTACAACTATCAAAACTCCAACAGCAACAACAACGACAAATGAAACACTCAGCAAAGTTAGCTCACCATCTCAAGGAAATGTGTCTAGACAGCCTTCAATCACAAACAGCATACCACAGGTTGTATCATCAAGAAACCCTAGCATTTCCAGTATCTCCAACCCTTCTGCTAATTCTTCGAGACAAAATTCTAACACAAATACTGATTTCATTAACTTCACTGCTAATACATTCTCAAACTATCATAACTATCCACAACATAATATCACAAGAGTTAAATCACCTGAATCAATTAATAGAAATCAAAGCACCTCACCAACCTCTCACGAACGCGGTCCTTCACCACCTGTGCCACAGCCTATTGCAATCCCTAAAAAACCAAAGGAGAAACAAGTTAAAGCTGTTATAGGAACACCAACTACACAAGTTCCATTTTATGAATTTTTTCAAAAACAAGATGATCAAAAAATTCATATTTTAATTGGTGCTACAGGTTCGGTTGCCACTATAAAAGTCCCATTAATTATTGATAAACTATATAAAACATTTGGGGCTTCAAAAGTCTCAATCCAGCTCGTTGTTACAAAGGCGGCTGAATATTTTTTGAAAGGTTTGAAGCTTAACTCAGAAGTCAAAATTTGGAGAGATGAAGAAGAATGGTTTGGTTATAAAAAGATTGGTGATCCAGTTCTTCATACTGAATTAAGAAAATGGGCTGATATATTGTTGATAAGTCCTTTGAGTGCTAATACTTTAGCAAAAATCTCAAATGGTATTTGTGATAACCTATTAACTGCCATCATAAGAAGTTGGAATCCAGCTACTCCAATTCTTGTTGCCCCTGCTATGAATACATTTATGTATACACATCCTGTTACTAAAAAACATTTGAATTCGATTCAAGAAGACTCCCCATGGATTGAAATTTTGAAACCGGTCGAGAAGGTTCTAGTTTGTGGTGATATTGGTATGGGTGGTATGAGAGAATGGAGTGATATTGTGGAAATTTTGGTGAAGAAATTGAAAGAAATACAGAAATCGAGAGCTGATGATGATTCCAAAAAGGCACAGACGGAAAATGGTGAAAATAATGGTGAAGATGAAGATGAGGACAACGAGGATGAAGATGATGACGAGGATGATGAAGATGATGATGACGACGACGACGACGATGATGATGATGATGATGATGACGACGAGGATGAAGACGCAGTTCAAGAATTACCAAATGATGAAACTTTGCAAGGCCTTAGAGATAATGGTACTTCAATTTCCCAATAGAAATAGCACATAAGTCTTTGTCCTGGAGCAAAAATACTGAAGTCATCTCATAATAGAATAGAGCAGGGTACCCATGTCAAATCTTTACATTAGTTGAAAGAAGGAAAGCTACTGTTATTACCATCATATTCTGTCTTCGCTCTATCCATATTTATTTTTTTGTATTATCAAGAAGATACTGTATATCACTAGTATAATTAGGAAACATTTTGCATTTGGAACTAATCCTTCTTTGCGCCATCGAACTGTAGTAATTCATCACTAAATTAAATAGTAGTCGATATTACTATTTGGAACAAATCAATCACCTCTCTATTAACATTATAATGCTTAACGTATGATCATGATCAAATAATAACATTGATATTGTTTTACGTACTTATATAGCATGACTCAAGCTTATAATAACTGAAGACTGGTCAATGAAACGTGGTAGATTCACGTCTTTCACCAAAAATAGTTTACTAGACTAGAATTTCAAACGAAGTGCATGGGATACCTCGTGAGAATCCAGCTAGGTTTACACACAGTACTTGAACAATATTACAAAGGATCAAGCTGAAAAAATCGTTATGATGCCTGACAAACAGTACCTGGAAAATTTAAATAAAATCATGAATTCATTAATATAAATTGTAAGGTTATAACAATGACTCCAGTAATGTCAGAAGCATATTATAAAAATCAATCAAAACCATCCATCATAATCATCCCTTTGGATAAACTCTTTCAAATCTTTCATTAACCCAATCCAGTGATTCAGCTTTTCAAACTCTTTTGATTGTTCATTACTATTGAAATCCAAATATTTCAAATGGTCAGAAACAAACAAGAATTTCAAGTGATTATTGAAATCATCATTCTTGAAAGGCTTCAACAAACTTAAATAGTTGTTTAAACTAATCAAATCATTCAAAGGTTTTGATAATCTTGTAATCAGGTCTTTATTAATTTGCAGTGAATTGATTATAATCTTTTGAATATTCAATGCCTTGACAGATTGTTTGAAAACTAGAGGTAGAAAGGGTGAAATAATTGAACTTGTTTCGATTGAGTTGGTGTAATTTTTTATTGATTTCAAAAGCGTTGATTGTACTTCAAGATGTTTTTTGACAATTCTCAATGACTTCAATTGGAAGTCGTAAACTAATTCTTCATCAATCTTATTATCATTTTGAATAATTTGACTCACCTCTTCTAAAAATCCAACAAGTTCAAATTTTGAAAGTAATGATTCTAAAAAGTTTATGGAAATTTGGTCTTGACTTTTGGAATTTTTCACAAGAGTATTGCTGAAGAAGTTATATTTGTTTTTCAAGTCATTAGTTAGGAAAGTATTCAATCTAGGATTTGCAAAATTTCTTGATGAACCTATTTTAGATAAGATGATTCCAAATTTCAAATTATTTTTAGTCAAATCAAAATCAACACCTGAAGCACCATTGAAATTAGCAAAATTTGGAAACAATGAGTCAACTATTGAAGGCTCGTAATCTAGGTTCAAGGATTTTGGCGTACCAAACGATAAAGATTGCAAAGTATCAATGATATAAAGATCAATGTATAGTCTTTTCAAGATTGAATTATAATCATCATAGTTCTCACTAGTAACCAAATGCGAAGGGTCCCAAAACAATCTGAAAATTTTCAACTTGTTGAAAATTGATATACTCGAACTAACATAAACATCCGATTCAAAACCTAGTAATGTTATAGCATAGCTTGATAAAACTAAAGTTGAAGCCAATAAGATAACAATATTTTGAGAATACAAGTTGAATCTAGTTTGGAAAATTGGAAAGATTTTCATCAAGTTGTTAAAGATCTGGTTAATAAGCTCCACTGGATTTGAATTAATATTTGAATTTGGTAATGACACAATTGATGGACTTCTTGAACCTCTTGTAGTTGTTGTAATCAATATGTCTAAAGAAGCATAGAATGATTGAACAATCAGTGTGTTGATTTCATGGATTTCATTAATGAGTTGATGATCAGAAGCATTTGGAGGAGGTATTGATAAAAGATTTCCCAAAGATTGTTTGTTCAATGGTAAAATTGGGAAGCTTGGATGGATAAACTGGTAATATAATTCAATAATTTGATTCTGTTGTTGTTGCTGTTGTTGAGCCAACACACCGTTATTATTGGAGTTTTGAATATTTAAGTTTTTGTTGAATCCTTGGTTGAGACTGTTCAGAGAGGAAATTGATAAAGCAGGACTTGTTGGAACTTGTAAATTTGCCGAGTTAGAGCGACTTCTATTTGCTCTGATATCAATTGAAGCTCTAGGAGAATAGTTGGATCCTCTTTCATCATCTGAATCTGAAACAACTGATGATTCATAACTAACAGGTCTTTGTCCGAAAATGAAGTTACCACCAGTAGCAGTACTGGAAGTGCTTGAGAACCTTGGAGATCTTTCACTTAAAGAGGAAGATACTGAATCGACTGAACCTCTTCTATCAAATGGACCTTGACTATATGGGACCTTCCAAAATAAACCTTGAGGAATTGTTCCATTTGGGTTAACTTGTGGTTGTGGTGCACTATTGATTGAAGATGATGATTGTGTCGATCCAGAGGAGTTGTTAGCTTGTAGGTTTCTCTCACCAATGGAACCGAACCCACTATTTCTTCTTGGGGAAGCTGGTTGGGAGAGATTATTTGATTCTTTAGAGTCTGTATTTGGGCTAGCACCGCCAGTAGAAGATGCTGAATAATTTCTGAAAGAGACCGAATTTGTCAAAGAAACCAATGGTGGTAAGGTTATGGAAGAAGAAGGGGACACTTGTTGTTGTTGCTGTTGCAAATGGTGAGAATGTGATGCTAATGTTTGGTTGCCCATGCTACTTGATCTTCTTGATCTAGTTGCTGATTTTGATCGATCTCTCGGCTCAGATGCGCCATCTTTAGTATACCCCTTTGTTGGTCCTCTTTTCAAGGGAACTCTTTCGAATGAACAATTTTCTTTGTTTTTTATACAACTTGTGCAAGGTTTAATGACTGAGTTTGAGGTAGTGCTAAAAGTGGCATCACATCTAATCTTTTTTCTTCGACACTAAATGTTGTTGTTAGTCAAGGTACATTTAACAGAAATCATTTAACTCACTTCGTCACAAGCTCTTGAAACTTTTGATCTTTTTCTTTGATGTTTAATTTGTGGGTCTGAAGGATCTGTTATTTCATTAGATTCTGCAGACAAATCAACAGAGGTTCTTATAGCTGGTGTTATAGGATGAGTAGATGAAGTTGACGAGTTTTTGTTTGTTGATGGCCGTATTTCATCATCTTTACTCAAGGTCATATCTTCAAAAGCACTGTTTCTCGGTGTCATGCTATGGTTGCCTGCTTTAATGGTTGATTGTGAATCTGATTTGTCAATGGTGATAGAAGGGCTTTGGGAAGAGGATGTTTCCAAGGTAGATTCACTTGGGATTTCAGCTGTTAGTGGGTGGGTGTTGTTCTCCTCAGAGTTGTTGGTAGCAGTAATAGAGGAGTTGTTGTTGTTGTTGTTGGAAGAAGCAGCGTGGTCGGCGTTGTGTGCCAGCATGTGAGCAATGGAGGACATCGTAGCAAGACTAAGCGCTGTGGGCGTTGGGTTGTTTGGCTGGCTGGAAGGGTCTTGTAAGTGAATGGAACTGATGTTGGTGATGACGAGCAGGAAAAAAACCATCATCAAATTGGCTGTTTGTTGATGAAAATGATTGTTCTGGCAGCGGTAGGGCCCGCATGCTGGTGCTGGCTTTTTTGTGGAGGGCAGCGAGTTTCTCCGGGCACAAGCAGAGCCAGACGGCGATCGGGGAGCTCGGTCTGGGGAAGCGCTTGGGCCAGGCTCTAGGCAGAGGGTGCTGGAAGAGCTGAGCTATAAGAGCTTGATTCTTGAAAGTGTAGCTGTAGCTGGGCTCCTTGTGGGCGTCTCTCTGTTCTTTCCAGATGCCTCAAAAGCTTTTGGGCACCGGAAGATTGATTAATCCTGTTTTCTACGGCAAGTTGATCCCAAAGTTTAACCGCTGGCGTCCAATGGCAAAAACCTGGAGAAGAGTCATTAGGCTGAGGACTAATTTGAATGTGAAGGAAATAGAAGCCAAACAGATTCTATTACTCTCTGCTTCACAGGTTGAAGAGCTTGAATAGCTTTTGCTGAGTTCAATTTACTGAGTATTGTTTGAATAATGAATGATCTACACCCATCCAGCTTCAAATCCAAGCCGTGGTGATCCTAGAACTGGTGAGGTTTTCCACGCTTAACAAAATTACATAGAGAGCTATCACCTCTGAGCTGGGCCAGCAACAAAAGGACTCGGCTACGCACTATTCCATGATAACGTCAGATGCTGCCACTACGTCTGTATAGAGACTGATCCTTCTGTAGTTAAGCATATTGCTCTCTTTTGACTCGTTCAATTAACATACGCTTGAAAGTCAGGAATTGATCACCTTTAATACATCATTCGCAAACCACATCCAATAATTAGACGTCCAACATTTTAAAAATTAATGCTAGCCATTAGTTTCACACAGCTGTAAGGTACAGTACAGTAAGTAATTCTCGCTGACCATCATGAAACTTCCTAAAATTTTCCAACGACTATTAGAGCGAGAATTCGGATTAACTACTCATCTACGCATTCCAGGAACAATAATAGCATACGCCGTTCAAATGTTATATCATTTCTTCATTATTCTAAACATCTCTAATCACCGTCCCTCTATTTCTTCTCCTTTGACCTTATGAACTTCTTATAAGCCAATTTTGATAAATTTGAAGAGCTTGTATGGGTAGAGTTTGCTTGTTTTGAACTGGTAGCATTAGTATTTAAATTCGATGAAGAACCATGTCTTGATAAGATATTATTTAATGAAGAACTTCTGAAAGCTGAGGGTCTTTGAGGTTGAACATGTAATACTGGTTCCGGTTTTGGTAATTCAATTTTACCAACTGGTGATACCTTCTTTAATGGTGATTCTCTTTTTGGTGTACCAACTCTACTCCCTGGCAAACTATTTGTTCTGCTATGAGAAGCACTGTTATTTGCACTGTTTAATGTACTAACACCCGGTGAACGACCACCAAAATAGCCAACATCATCACCATCCTCTGAATTTTCGTCTTTATCTGAACCTTCATAATTTGGCGCAAATTCTTCAACTTCATCAGGTTCATCATCTCCATCCATAGCATCTTGATAAGATGGTAAATCCGATATATGTGAAAATTTCAAAGCTTCTAAACTTCTTGATAATTCATCATCGATGTTGTGACCATGATGATTATGAATACTTGCATCTAATAATGGTGATACAGGAGCAGAATCACCATTCATATTTCTTGAACCTGGTCTTGTTGGTATACCAAAATAAGATAAATCTGGATCTTCACTGGCTTCTGATAAACCTTGTTGTTGCGTTTGATTTTGTAAAACTGGTAACGGAGATCTAGTACCAGGTGTATAACTTGGAGAAACTGGATGTGAATTTATATTTGAATTATCTCCACTAGTTGAACTATTATTTCCAGAGCTTGTATCACCGTATAATCTATCAAAAATGTGAGCTTCATAATTTGGAGGTGCAGAATCTTCAGTTTGAGCCAATTGGAAATTAGCTTCACGATTTGTTGCTTGTGGCTGTCCTGGAAGATGTTTATTTCTTTCAAATAATGGTTCTTCTTCTTTTCTAAAATGAATTTTACCATTTTTATCTAAAACAATAGTACGACCAGTCATATCAGCTTTTGGTGAAACGTATAAACTAATTGGTAAATTTGCTCGAAGTTCACTAACATGACCATTTGGTTGAATCAAATTTATTTGAACTTTTAATTTATGACGAACTTTGATCAAATCTTCTTTTAGATCACAATCTTGTGTAACTTTCTTCAAATTTGAAGGTAGATCAATAAAGGATTCAATTGCTAATTTATCATCCAGTATATGATTCTCCATTTGGGTCATTGTTAAATCTAAAACTTGTTGTTGATCATCATAAACATCACCTGTGACACCTCTAAATGCATAATATTGAATAATTTGAGCTTTAATTGGACCCAACTTCATACCTTTAATCAAAGGAACCAATAAAATATTTAAAGGGGATTTCCCACCAATTGGAACAGCTCTGGCAGGAATACTAACTTCATATTGAACTTTCCCAGGCCAAGTTTTCCCGATTGACATAGTTTCTGATAATTGTAAACTATCACTTGACAAGGTTCTGAAAATTCTAAAATATTTGTACTTGTTTATAGGTGATTTAAAACTTCCTCTATCAATTGAAGCTTCAAATTTGTACAAGACTGAACCTGCCACCAAACCCTCCACTGTTTCTGGAATATCACCTGGAAGAACACATTTGAAAGGTAAATCATAATTCCCACCAGGTAAGATAAACGAAGTACCATTTGGGGTTGAGATGTTTTCGAAAGGGGTACCTGAAACACCATTAACAGGTAAAGTTAATGAAGATGGAGCATTTGCTCTATGTAGTTTTTTTTGAGGACTTGAGTTTTTGGCATGAGTTGAAGAGCCACTGATTGTATATCTTCCAGAGACTCGTTGTTCGCCATTACTCATTGAAACTTTAGTATCAGTACCAACTTTAGTGACACCTTCGGCATTGACCAACAAATTATCCCAATCTATTTCAAATATAACCGCCTCTTGTTTAACAGGACTTGATACTGTTGATCTTGAATGAGATAAAACTTCAAGGAAATCTAGTTTATATTTCCCAACCAATTTTAAACTAATTCTTTTAGCAGACATCGTATCAGGCAATGAAAACACCAAATGACCTTGCAACATGACTGAAGGGGATTCATATTGGGAACCTTTGACGATGACCATGTTTTTATATGTGGATTTGACTCTAAAATGAAGAATTAGTATTTTTCACAAGACAAAGCCATAAATAGACATACCTGATATCAAAGAAGGATGGCCCTGAAGAAGCTGATGACTTTGACGACTTTCCCAACCCAAACATTATTTCTATTATAATCGATTCTATTGTCTGAGCATGAGTTGCCTCTATTAATTGTGTTGTCTATAATCTATCAAGGGGAAAAAAAGAAGGTAAAAGAAATTGTCCAGGTTTATTGAGATGGATTTCCTTCTGGCTCTTGACACGGTCTGTTGATGTGAATTTTTGAAATTTTCCTTTAGCGCCCGATGATTTCATTTTTGCGGTCTGATTCGCGGTTCTACGAGAAAAGAAAAGTGTTACGTAAGAATGTGTGTGCTGCTTAGCTAATATCCGACATCTATAGGCTATTCAAAAGAGTACTGCTTCACCAAGACACATTCACCTCCCTTCTCAGGTATCGTGTAGACGTATAGTGAGCCATCGGAGGATCCCACAAGCACATTGTTCCCGTTGAAACCAACAACGTTCTTGGTCTTGTTCTGGTTGGGGATTCTTAAGAAGGCATAGTCCCTTTGCGGCTCCAATATGGATGATATATTCTTTGGTAGGTTCTGATAAATACGGTCTGTTATCGAAGGGTGACGCCTTGGATTAACTTTCACATTGGAGTTCACTGATCTAGGAATGATCCTCTCTTCAGACTCATCGTGGTCAAAATTATCTTGAACTTGTTCTTCACTTCCACCTTCTTGATAACCTCCTTCCCTATCCATATTGTTCTCATTGTTATTGCGACTATACCCCAAATCATCATCTGGTAATAGCTTGAAAATATGAACTGTCTCAGTGTCAGATGTAGCCACTATTAACGAAGAGTTCAAATTGAATGTTAATCTATGTATCAATGCTGAATATGAACCCCTTCTAAACTCATTCACTTTATTCCCAGTCACGGTGTTGAACACTCTGATAATAGTACCTTTTGTAGAGGCTGTGGCAAATAAAGTACCGTTACTATTCAAGGAAATGGATGCCAGATCCGTCTTGTGTGCCTTGATAATATTTAAAGGTGCAATGTTTAAAGCATCAAATAATACAACAGTACCAACCTCCTGTGATCCATTAGAAGAAGGGCTTTTGTTACCACTATCATTGCTATCGTTAACACTAAAAGGTGATGCCACGTTTGGTCCGGGAGCTGGATAAATTAATATGGAATCATCACTTGAACTTAAGTCACATAATGCGTTTTCATTTGGTGACGTTTCAATGGTGTGTAACAACTTCATACAACTGATATCATAAATATATATCTGATCAACCAAAACGACAACCAATCTTTTCCTATTCAATTTCATTGATAATACAGCTGTTGGAAACGTTAATTCACAAATATTTGATTTTTTTTTGGTATTCAGAATCCTCAATCTTCTAGGAGAAGTAGTTGGTTTATTTCCAACACCAACAATTGCAACTAAGGACGTAGAGAATAGCATTTCTGAAACATTGGCTCCTGAATCTGTTTCCACCGATTTGTTAGTATGTCACGTTAACAAAAAAAGCATTTAACTCACCTAATTCAAAACATTCACCAAAAGGGTCCACGTTGTAAATCTTGAACTCATTCTCTGTCCCAACAGATAAGCAAGAAAAATCTTGATTAAAGTTGATACACTTATACTCAGTATTTGTCAACATTATGACAATTCCCTTTTCCAATGAAGTTGAAATCACTTAATTATCCAATGTCTGTTTTTGTTATCAACAGCTTTGTCTCTTTAATTCCTTTATTTTTCTCGCGCTTGAAAATTGAAGTCTGCCAGCTCCTTGGAAATACAGACAATTTTGAGCAGTTACTTAATCTTCATACAAATAGACAATGCTACGACTTTACTCCTTTTAAAGTATTTCAAATTATTTATACACATTTGGCATGCAGTCATTACGTCTCAGAATCAAAAAAAAAATCTTATTTACATCAATCATCCTCAAAATACTGCCACAGATTATTTTCAATTTAAATAAATAGTTTATTCTTTTTGATTATCTTCCCACCTCAATCTTTTCTTCTTCTAATTTCTTCATTCATGATTTCAAATCTTGCTCTAGCAAGTGCTCTTAATTCTTGCATGTTTTGTGGATTGTAATCTTTTAAAGAGTCAATTGAGCTGGAATCTGATCTAATGACTGAACCAACAGACATGAATAGTCCAAAAGTAGCAGCTGAACCACCAATATATTGCCCTAATGTTCTCATAACACCGTTTGGACCAGCACCATTAGTTAAGATGGAAAACCCACCAAACAAAACACCAACGACAACACCGACTGTTGTACCCATCATAGCACCCATTTTGAATTTTTCAAAGTTAGAAGGTTGTTGGCCATATTGAACTTGTTGAACTGGTGGCATTGTTTTCTCTTGTTTTGTATCAGTTGGTATAAAAGCACTTAAGCGTCTAATATTTTAAAAGCAAATTGCATCGAAATCGTCATCTTTTTCAACCGAAGCATTTTTTTTTTCTATGGAGAAGCGTTTTGTACCGGGCACTCCCATAATAGCCTTTGTCTAGTTGAAACTTGAAACTACAAAAAAATTGTAGCATAAGTGATCAAATGATTTATTTGTTTATACTCCAAACACTGTATACCATTGTGGCAAAAGCCATAACCCTTCGAATTCCTTTTCCGTGATAGATTTAGCATCTTTGAGCCATTGAATGATCTCCAACAATTCAGGTCTTGTTAATAATGGCGATAACTTTCTAAACAAATCAGATTTTGTTATACCAGGTTGTGATAAGATTGAAGTTAACACCGCCCTATTCACTTTGAACCATACAGATTTATTAATTTGGCCTTGAACATCGACCCAGACACGTGAACAAGGTTTACCCATTGGTACTAAAGGTGAAGTTTCAGATGCTTCTTTGATTGGCACATCACCTTTAGATAAAATGACATCACAATCCAATTTTTCTCTTTCTAATGTTCTAGCTTCATAGCCACTCAACACTTCTCTTCTATAATGATCAACTCTTATCAAATTCAATCCACCTTGATTTAATAATTCCAATATGGGAACCATAAATGAATTATCAAAAATTGGATCCAAAACTAAACCTCTATTGGCTTCAAAAAGATTCTTTAGGATGGCATGTAAATGATTCACTTTCTGTAATGAAAAATCATATGAATTATCATCCAAAATATGTGTTAAAGTTTCTCCTAAAATAACTTTCGAATCTGATCCAACAACAACTTCTTTTCTTTTTGTCATTTCGACAAACACTTCATCAATATCTTTTTTATCAAATGACTCTAATAACGGTAACTTTCTGATGTTGGAATTTGGGCCACTAGCCAGTATAGCAATGATTATGTTCCTAATATTGGAATAGGTTTCAGGAGTTCCTTCTTTGATTTCTTCGTAATCTTCAACATAAGTAAATGATTTCCCAACTAGATATTGTTCTCTTTGAATCATTGAATTGCTATCATATGCGAAAGCATTTGAGATACTTTGATTTTTAACAAAGTTATAGTGAGAAAAATTTTCCTCATAATTTGCAAATAGTCCATCATTAGTTTCATCAACACCACCCATGATTTCAGCATCTTGCCATAACTTAACAAGAGTTTCAAGTTCCAATTGCTCAACTTCTGGTAACGTTATCTTCCCTTCTCTAACGGCAGCTAATAGAATTCTTTTCCATGTTCTCCTAGCAGTTTTACTACCTTCAGGGCCCATCATTAATCTTATACGTGGCCATTTTTTACGTAAAACTTCTTGTGAAACTCCATCAAATAATTTTGTAATTTTTTCCCAACTGATTTGATTTTCATTGATAGTTTTACAGATAATAACAGCCTTGAATAAGAGCATTGTCTCTGTGCTGTTCAAATGTGATGAGTTTCTTTTTTTACGAGTACCATGAGGTTTTCTAGCTTTCTTTGAGTTGGTATCCCAATCTGAAGCATCATTATGGGTCTCCTGTTTAGGCTTGACGGGTCTCTTCCTTGGTTTTGGTTCAGAGACAGCCTTCTGTGAATTGGACTCCTTTTTGTTTGGTCTCTTCTGTTTAACAAGTTTTGGTTGTTCTTTTGATTCACTCTCGATCTCTTTAGCAATTTCACTTTTCTTGGTCCTTTGTCTCTTTGAGGCCCGTGTCTCAGGTACTTCATTGAAAGATCTCTCTATATCATTATCATAAAAGCCGATATCAATGTTTTTAAGTTCATCATATCTTTTGAATGGAGCGGCTTTTTTCTGTTTTTGCTTATCTTTCACTTTTTCCTTAAAGGCATCTATAGCAGCTTGAGAATCTTCTGATGTTAAGACAACAACTTTATAGCTTAGTTCTCTCAGAGCAAAAACTTCATCGAAAAAAATTTTACCTTGAGAATTCAAGGATTGCAAATCTCTTTTGAACGTTCTTTTATCAACATTGATGTTTAATGCACATCTAACAGCATCAAGAAGAGGGAACCCATTGACCATAACACCTGAATTTTCTTCCAACACTTTCAAGATAACGCTTAAACGTTCGATGGCTTTAAATGAAGGTCCTTCAAGGTCCGAAATTTTCAACGTGTTCAAGGGTTTAACAATTTCCTTTTGAGCCTCTTTTGCATTAGCTTTATCTGCGTCTTTCGGAACTTCTTCTGTATCAGGTTTGGTGTTATCTTGTGGTCCGTTATTTTCTGCTGTGGGTTCAACAGTGACAACTTCGACATTGACCTTTTCTTTTTGTGTTCCGATATCATTTTTTTCGGCTGTATCCTGGATCTTCTCAGGTTGATTCTCTTTCTTTTTTGTTCTCTTTGGTTTAGGTGTTGATCTCTCTTCACCTTTTTTAGGACGACCTCTTTTTCTCTTTGGCGTATCATCATCACCACCAACAACATTAACAACAGCAGTGTTGAGAGATTTAGCATCTCTAGCTTTCTGAGCAGCTCTTGCTTTTGCGACTATATCAGATGAATGACCAAACCAATAAATAGAAAATGAACCGTTGTTCTCTATCAGTTCTACCCCTGTGTTCATTGGAATATAATTCTTTTTGTTCAACATCTCAAGAGGCAACTTTGCAGCTTCAAAAGATGGAAGTTCTGAACCATTTGGATCTAATGGGGCGTTTGATAGCCTTAAGAAGTTGGGTCTTGTCAAATAACGGTAAAATTTAACCTTTCCCTTAAAATCATAATGTCTTTCTATTCCGTGGTTGGCAATATGTGGCTCCATTTTCCCTGTAGTGTAACATTCGATTATTTTGGAAAACAAACGTTTATAAGACCTACCGAACACAGAATCCAGAATTTCGATACTCGACATCCCTAAAGTTTCTGTTTCATCAACAATTTCGAATACTTGATTTTGGAATGGAAAGAATCTATTAAATAATGGAATCTCGGTGTCGTCAATTGATGACTTTATTTCAAGGTTATCAACATTTGCAAGTGATGTTGGTGGCTCTTCGTCTTCCAGATTCTTCAAATCATCATCAATCATCTGATCATTCAAATCAAATTCTTCTTCCTCTTCGTCTTCTGTGACTTCCTCTTCATCAACATCCTCAATTCTATCCGCTTTAGGAACATAATCTTTCAAGTATTTCAAAGCAGAGAACTTCCTTTTAGGAGCAGCGGGTGAAACCACCAACACTTTTGCCAAATACCCTTTATCTTCGAGGTAATTAACAGAGGATCTGAATGTTCGCTTTATTCGCTGTGCTTTGTCCATTTCCATTTCCCTTCTAAGATCACCCACTTGACGAACTCCATGTTTAGCTGCTTTCAAAGTACTAACTATGCGACCTCTTATATCATCTGTACTAATAGTAATATTCTTTTCATCATTTGAGACAGCAATTGTATCAATTTTTTTCGGTTGATAAAACTTCTTCAAGATTAAAAGACTCAAAGTTCGACCATTTCTTATGATTGGAATTTTTTGGATCAACGCGCTCAGTACTTTGATTCTTGATGTCAAACTTCTTGCATCTTGATTAGTAGTTTTAGTGAGAGTATATGAGTCAATACCTTCCTGACGGGATTTAGCAATTTCCACCAACAAATCGAATGCCATTCCACCTACTGGATTGTTTTCTCTTGGAGAACCAGTTAACGATAACCATTGGAATTCACTTGTCACTCTAATAAAGTAACGACCTTTTTCAATTTCATCAAAAGACTTTGGATTAGGGCTAATGATTTCTTGATTGTCGTTTAATATTTCGATTGAATCGTTTTTCGATAACCAAGAGTATATGATTTTTTTGTATAATGCATCAACATTGACCTTCAAGGATACCAATTCCCACAATTTATCGAATGATACACCAGCACTACCTTCGTAAGCAAGTTCCTGGACTGCATAGTCCACTATTTGATCTGGATAGAGATCCGGAACCAACGACATCTGTGTTTAGCTGATAAATGGATAACCTTGAAGCGCGTTTGTTTGTGTTTGGTTCTATAATTCACGTCTCCAGCTAGTTTCGAAGGGGCGTTTTTTGTTTTCATTGATATTAATGACCCTATGTTTATTGGCAGATATTACCCGCAGATTACCCAAAGACTGGACGATCGAATTCGCGAATGTGGTCAATTGATTTGACACGTCTGAGAAAATTTGGTTCACTTTGAAATCATAGTTGAATACAAAGTTAGAGATTTTGAGATCATCCATCAGATTCAATTGACCAAATCATCATTCTCAGTCAATTATCCAAACTCACCACTTTAATCATATAGATCAACACAATAGAAATATTCAACACACACACACATCATGAGTGAGAAACAAGTTGACCTAATGGCGGTCAATGTTGCCAAATTCTTACGCAAAAACTCATTACTAAAGCAACGTAAAGGTCTTTTACAAGGAAACCTAGTTGACTTTTTCAGATTCAAAAGGGCCTCTCGTGCTTTACTTTCGGAAGATTACAAAAAGAAGCAAGAAAATCCAAAGAATAATTTACCACCAGTTAGAAATGAAACCGATGCTAAAGGTGTTTTCGCGATGTTGATCAGAAACCAATTGGTTCATCCTGGTGAAAAATTGTCTTCAGCAAAGGCTAAAGAGAACCAATTGGTTCCAAAGAAAGGTACACCATGGTTCCTCCCATTACAAAAAGCAGAACTCACACCAGATGAATACTACATTTGGTTTTACAACGAAAAGAGTCCTTGGGATATTGTCTTAGGTTTCGGTGTTATTGCTGCTGTCTTCACATTGATCTTATTCCCATTGTGGCCTGCATTTATGAGAAAGGGTGTCTGGTATTTATCAATGGCTATGTTAGGTTTGATTGCATTATTCTTCGTGATAGCAATTATCAGACTAATCATTTTTGTCATCACTTATGTCATTTTGAGTCCAGGTTTATGGATCTTCCCTAACTTGTTTGAAGACTGTGGGTTCATTGACAGTTTCAAACCATTTTATGCTTGGAATTATCCAAAGGAGAAAAAATCAAAAAAATCAAAAAAGAAGGCTGCTGCTCAATCACCATTAGAACAAATTCCAGAAAAGAAAACTTCAACTCCAGCCTCTACATCATCTTCAAAACCTAACCAATCAACCAATGTCAAACGTAAAGCTACATTGGAAGAAGTTGATGAATAATCAAAGAAAGGTTGACTATATAAATATTAACCCCATTCTGGCTCAATTCATAGATAAATCATCACACTAACTAATGCACTGAGATCTCTCTCTCGTAGATGTTCTAGTTGATTTGTTTCGCGATTTTAGTGTAAATGCTTGAAAAACTCAGTTTGAAAAAAACACCATAAAGACGTCCTTTTATCATGCATAGGAACAGCCAAAGATAGGTACTATGAGACTTTTGAAACCTCATTCTCTGTATAGAGGGGCTAGGTCTTCCATAAGATACAGCTCTACTTTCCACAGAAATTTCCTTGTTGATCAAAATGAATTGAAAAAAGATTTAGAAGAACCCTTGATGGCACATCTAAATAAAAGAGGTTTGATCTCAAGTACAACAAGTGAGGAACTTGAAAAAGTATTAGAAAAGACAAAATTAGGATTATATTGTGGTGCTGATCCAACTGCAAAATCACTACATTTGGGTAATCTTCTACCTTTGTTAATCCTTCTTCATTTCAATCTCAGAGGACATCATATTACCGGCTTAGTTGGAGGTGCAACTGGAGCAGTTGGTGATCCAAGTGGGAGAACAACTGAACGAGCAACTATGGAAGAGCAAACAAGATTGGATAACGTTTCAAAGATTAAACAACAAATGGAGCATTTCTTTAACAATGGTGTGCGATATGTTAAATACTTGAGCACTTCTAAAGTCATTGAAGAAGGGAGAATTCAATCCAAGAACAATTACGACTGGTGGAAAGATGTCACACTTCTTGAGTTCCTAGCTAAATATGGCCGTCATATTAGGGTTGGACAAATGTTAGCTAGAGATAGTGTTAAAGGAAGATTAGAATCAGAAAATGGTATTGGTTTCAATGAGTTTGCCTACCAAATTTTACAAGCTTATGATTTCTGGCATTTATTCCGTAATGAAAATGTCTCCATCCAAGTTGGAGGTAATGATCAATGGGGGAATATAACAGCAGGTATTGATTTTATTACTAGACTGAAAGCAAATCTAAAAGAAAACAATAAAAAAGATAAGGAAATTCAAAGACTTACTGGAAGATCTTCATTTGGTGTTACTGTTCCATTACTCACCACTGCATCTGGTGAAAAATTTGGTAAAAGTGCTGGAAATGCAGTATTTATTGACCCAACAGTCACCCCATCATTCGATTTATATCAATACTTCATCAAGACCCCAGATTCAGAAGTTGAAAAACTTTTGAAAATTTTTACTTTTTTACCATTGAAACAAATTGAAGAAATCATTACCAAACATAATGAAGATCCAACTATCAGATCTGCTCAAAGAATTTTGGCTAATGAAGTTACAGATTTGATTCATGGTGTTGGATCTGGTAAAGATGCTGAGATTGTTAGTTCAATACTATATCCTTTACCCGAAGATCCATATCCAGATATTACATCTGATGAGCTAATCAGTTCTTTCAAAGCCGCAAATGTATTGAAAGTCTTACCTAAAGAAGAATTTATTGGGAAACCTTATAGTGCTATTCTTTCAAAAGTTCAAGATATATCAAGAAACGAAGCACGTAAATTGATAACAAGTGGTGGAGTTTACCAAGGTTATGAAAGAATTAGAATTGATACATCAGATTCAATGTTGATTGGAGATGAACAATTGATTGATGGTAAAGTTTTATTGTTGAGAGTCGGAAAAGGTAAATATCATGTCATACAACTCGTATGAAATAGAGGAGAGGTGTATATAGATCAAACCAATGTAAATAATCAATTCTTTTGAACAGATAGCCTTCGAGTCAGTGTCAGTAATGGTTTTTTTTTTGATTGATTAATTCAAACCCTTAGAATTATCGAAAGTATAACTTTCAAATGAAGACAATGTTAAGACTTGTTTTTCCTTCTCCAAAGTCTCCATTTCTTTAACTTGTTACATTTATACCCTGTATGCGTGTTGAGATGATGAACAGGTTGCTGAAATTCATATCTACTGGATGCCTATAGTATAGGTACATTAAAGCTTCGACTGTTCTAGTACAACTAATCTTTCCAAATAACTTGTATATTTCTAGAAACAACATCAAATTCATCATTGTAGTCAAGTCTATCAGATCATTTTCCCTTCTGAGCAGCTAAAACTTGAGAAACGGTGTCCACAATAGTCTGCTCTTGTGGAATAAAATCAAACCCCAAAATTTCTCTAGTCTTTGAATTGTCAAGTGTATAGTATTGTTTGAAAAACTTTTCGTCGGACCCTGGCTCACCAACATCAACTTTCCCTTTCAATTCTGAAAAGTTTTTATTAATAATATCCAAGATCGTTTGCTGTGTGTAAGGTGCTAACGCGGTGATCAATCTTTGACCTGTTGTTTTAGGATTCTCAATAGCTGCAACATGAGCTTTTGCAACATCTCTAACATCAATTTGATACCCTTGAATCTTTTTATCCTCCTTTTTCAGCAAACCATTGATGATTTCATTTGAAAAGTTCAACTGATCCTTAACATAATGGTCAAATAATTGAGGACCAAAGATATAAACCGGGTTGATTATGCTGAATTTAAAATCGACGTTATTGTCTTTGAAAAAATCCCAGACCTCCTTTTCACCATGTGTCTTTGACGCTTCATAGGCTAAACCTTCATCTGATTTGGCTTCATCTAAAGTAATCTTATTCCAAGAATCCTCAGTAACCACTTCATCTGAGCTATAGCTTTGTTCTGAACGTACAGCAGCAAGTGATGATGTGTAGACAAACTTCTTGACATTTTTGCCATTCTCTTTGATGGAAAGTAAAACATTTCTAGTACCATGAATTGCTGGTAAAATCATATCTTTCTCAACGTCTTTCAAATCACTAGGGAAAACTGGAGATGCGGTGTGTAAGACTGCTTCAATATCTGGATGTTTTTGTAATGCCTTATCAAAATCATCTTTTGAGTTGATCAAATCTTTGACAATTTCGTAATGGAAGTTTGGATTCTTGAACAATGAAGTCAACGTATCACCTTTTTCAGTTGAACGAACGGAACCAACAACGGTGTAATCTTTTCCAAGTAGTTGATAGATCAAATGCTGAGCAACAAAACCTGTTGCACCTGTAACGAAAACCTTTGTCATTTTTGATAGTGACCTTCTAAAGTTTAGTGAGATGTAACAACATTTCAGAAGTCAAACCTCGAGATATTTATAGTGATCCATCTCAGCAATTGCTAAACTTTGAAGGTACAAATAAACTCTCTGTTGCTATACCAAAACCAAATTTATTTGCTGTGAGGAAAATTCGCGAAATCTGAAGGCTCGCGAATACAAGGCCTTTTAAACTGAAGAAACAATAATGTTATGCTGTCGTTAAACTGACAACATCAACGCGAGAAAGTGAAGCAAATGAGCGACTCGTTGGATTTGAAGGGCTTTGCTGATCAGCTTAACGCTGCTTACAGAGACTATGTCTACAAGAAAACCAAGAAGGATTACAAGGAGCTGGTGAACAGTTACAGAGATACGGTGATGAGAAGTCCCCTTGGGAAACAACTTCCTTCTTTATTTGCATCCATAATGAAATATGAAGATCCAGTCGCTCAAGAAGCTGCTCTAGACTCAATTGACCTGGAGAAGATCTACAAAGGTGTTGATGACCGAACTCAAGCTCAAGAATCCAAGAAGGCAAAAGGTGAAAAGCTTGATGTTGAATGGGGTTACACAGATTTCATTGTTATGGAATTATTGAAATGGTTTAAACATGATTTCTTCAAATGGACTAATGAGCCAGAAGCCACACCAAACCAAGGTAAACCAAGACTGATATCTGTTGAAGCACCAAGTCCAGAAGAAGCAAGAGATGGTAACGCTGGTCGTACAGAAATTTATCAATGTCAAGATGGTTCAATAATACGGTATCCAAGATATAATGACCCTGTCAAATTGCTTTCCACTAGGAATGGAAGATGTGGTGAATGGGCAAATTGCTTTTGCTTGTTACTGAGAGCTTTAGGTATAAGGACTAGATACATTTGGAACGCGGAAGATCATGTTTGGTGTGAAGTATACTCTGAGTCTCAAAAAAGATGGATTCATGTTGACTCTTGTGAAGAAGCCTATGATAATCCAACTTTGTATAATAAAGGATGGGGTAAGCAAATGAGCTATGTTTTAGCCTTTGGACTTGATGGAGTTGCTGATGTTTCCAAAAGGTATGTTGTTGATGAGGATAAGAAACTTCCAAGAAATAGAATAAGTGAAGCTGATTTACAAAAAATATTGAGGTTTTTAACAGTAAATCAGCGTAAGGATAGATCAAAAACTGAAGTTTATAAATTAGAAATAGAAGACTCCGTGGAGCAAATGGAGTTATTTGGTAAAAAACCTTTATATGCTCAAGGTGATATTGTTCAACCTAGACAAAGTGGTAGTGCACAATGGGTAAACCAAAGGGGTGAAGGTGGATCTTAAAGAGTATTTAAACGTCATATATATTATAATCTATGTGTGTGTTTTTTAAGCAGTTAGTAGTGTAATTTGTAATCGTATTTTGAAACTGGAACTTTGTAATCAGTTTCAGGTTTTTGAGTTGAATCAACCATATCGTTAAAAGTTTTGAAATATTCAGCAATTCTCTTTGTGGCCCATGAATCACCATCTGATTGGATATAAGCTAAATGACCACCAATATCAGTTCTCAACTGAACGATATATGGATTCACTTTGGCTTCTTCGACAGGAATGGAATGAACACCAACCATTGGATCGTCATGAGAGTTGATGGCTAATAGGGGTGTATGAATTTGCATTATTCTGTTCACTGAACTTGCGGCTCTGTAATAAGCAAAAGCAGTAGGGAACCCATATAATGGAGCAGTAAGTCTATTATCAAAATCTGCGATTGAAGTATATTTGTGATTGATGGTATCTTCTGTGATAAGAGGATGTTCATACAGAGCTTTTCTATTAGATTTGATAAGTCTAACCAAAAACTGAGTTGCTGGTTGCTGGAATAAAAATCTTGATAAGAAACGTGAAGGGAAACGATATGATGAATCAACCATATCCCATGGATTTGATAGCAAAGCAGCAGCAGCGAACTTGGTGTTTTCAGCTTCTTCACCTAAGTAATTAGCCAAAATTGTGGCACCAAATGAAAAACCAACGGCATATAAAGGTCTATTTGGGTATAATTTTTTCAAAAGCTCAACAAAATGGCGTAAATCATCAGTTGCCAGTCCATTGAATAGTTCTGGTGTACTTAACTTAGATCTTGAACAGCCTCTAGAGTTTAAGACAACGGCTTCAAATCCATCAACTTTGGTTAATTTTTCAACTAATGATCTAATCACAGGTTCATGTGAACCACCACCTAGACCATGACAAATGACAATCAATGGTTTTGTGTCATTGCTTCCTTGGCTGGAAAGTTCTTCTGGTGTCAGAAATCTGGTTCTTGGGTGTTGTCTAGGCCAGTCTTCTGGTAGATACTTTGCAGCTAACTCATCAAATTCATGTTTTGATTTTGGAGCAGGGATGGTGAAGTCTGCAGTTGCACTTCCACCATCAGGGAATGTGATTAGCCTTCTTCCATAGTGAACTTGGAAACTTTTGGAGAAGTCAGCAGCTGAGAAGTACATTGTTTGTAAATCACCAGTGAATAACCAAGGCTTAACATAAAAACTTGAACCGTTCTTCAACTCGGTGACTGAGTTCACCAATTCACTGAAAGGTATCAAAGAGGTTCCATCTTCACCTCCGTTCTTCAATTGTAGCTTGACACTGTCCTTAGAGTAGAAACTCTCAACGTTACCAATAAACCCAACCATGTTATCTCGAATATATACCAATATCTATACCTTTAATTGCAAACGGTGTTCATGATTCTTAATTTTTCATCGCCAATCCGCTTTTATACCGGCTCCAGCTCCAGCTCCTCGGCAAAACGAGTTCAAGGGCCAACGCGGCCGCGGTTGGCGCACTTACAAAAGAAAAAAATGTCAACCGTTGAAAACTGGCACAATGATGAAATCGTAGCTCTAATTCAAAACCCTTTGTTTGAGTCCCAAGTGCACAAGATCATGTTTCCAAGATTTGGACAGCGATGTTTCACTGGAAGAAGGCTGTTTCATGCCTCTAGTGTAATAGAGAGTGCTCAAAGAACCACCAAAAGAATTTCCATCAATGACATCCGTCAATTATACATCAAAAGGGAAAAAATCTCTGTGCTCACAGCTCATGACTACATATCAGGAAAGATTGCAAATGATGCCAATGTTGATATAGTACTTGTTGGTGATTCTCTATCAATGGTTGCTTTAGGTTATGAAGACACTAATGAAATTCCTTTCGACGAATTCTTATATCATTGTCGTGCAGTGGCTAGAGGTGTTGACAAGAGCTTTATAGTGGCAGATTTACCATTCGGATCTTATGAGTCTTCTATTTCAAAAGCTATTGAATCATCTATATCGTTGATATCAAAGGGAAGAGCTAATGCAGTTAAGCTTGAAGGTGGCGTTGAATTGGCTCCTACAATCAAAGAGTTGACCAAAATTGGAATCCCTGTTATGGCACATATTGGTTTAACTCCTCAAAGAGCAAACGCCTTGAGCGGATTCAAAGTTCAAGGTAGCACTGTTGATAGTGCAATATCCGTTTATGAAGACGCTTTAAGCGTACAAGATGCTGGTGCTTTTTCTGTTGTTCTTGAGGCAATTCCAGCGAAAGTTGCCAAAACACTCACCAATACACTAAGAATACCAACAATCGGCATTGGTGCTGGCCCTGATACTAGTGGACAAGTGCTCGTCCAAGCAGATGCCTTGGATATGAATAATAGTGAGCATAGTCCGAAATTTTTGAAGAAATATTTGAATGGTTATGAGTTGAGTGTTAATGCAGTGAAAAATTATGTAAATGATGTCAAAGCTCAATCATTTCCTGTGTTAGGTCAACACACTTACAATATTAAAGAAGGGAATTATGATGAGTTTTTGAAAAAAATCGTTAACAAATAATATGTATTTAGAGAATCTATAATAGATGTGTATATGCTTATTACGGAAAGTATCAATCTATTTAACTAGTATACTTTTCCCATCTCTAACTGGAATATACCTACTCTCATCTTCGTTTGCATCATCGCCAATGTCAAATATTATAGTCTTGCCAAAATCTGGAGCAAAAATATCATGAGCTTTATTCAGACTCTTTGCCAATTCTTCGAGTTTCAATTTTGGTTCAAGGAAATGTTCACTGCTTAACACAAATGTGCCCCAGTGCACACCAACAATCTTTTTGGCTTTTAAGTCATCCATTATTTTGACACATTCCTCCGGATTTATATGACGGGGTTTTTGATGCCATTGAGGACAGTATTGACCGCATGGAAGCATGGCTAATTTCAAGCCATACCCAAATTTAGAACCTATCATCTTGAATAAATCATGGACATATCCAGTATCACCTGCGTGAAAAAAAATAGGTTTACCATTCTTCAAAATCAAGAAGGAACACCACAAGGTAGAGTTCGAGTCCAATAAATGTCTACCTGACCAATGCATTGCAGGTGTACAAGCAACCTCATAAAGATTATTTGGATCCTCAGCAACAGGCAATTTCACTTTATCCCACCAGTCCAACTCTATAGTATTGTAGATACCTTTCTTAGCCAAGGTTTTTCTCAACCCCATAGGAACAATCCACGTTGAAGCATTTTTCACTTCTTCGGCAACCTCCTCATCAAAATGATCTGGATGATTATGAGAAACCATAATGTAATGAGGTTTTGGTAGTTCGTTTAATTTGCATGGTGATGGAGTTATTCTTTTAGGCCCTAAAATTGAGTTGACCAAATAATTGCTAAATAAAGGATCTGTAAGGAAATTGACACCACTTATTTGAACGTATGCACATGATTGGCCTAGCCAGGTGAATGTTAAGCGATCTTGATGTTTGGGTATTGATATATCAGTGCTTTCAACTTTTTGAGCGTTGTCAACTAATGATGATTCTTTAAGAAGTTCAAAGTCAGGTTCATAAATTGGTAATAGCTCTCTTAACCTGGCTTTTGATGGAACATTTCCTCTTCCCTTTCCTTCAAAAAGTTCTAAAATCCTACTAAGGAAAAACTCAAATAATGTTTGAACTCTATATTCTTCAAATGGGTTTTCAAATCTACCAGCAACAGTGAAACTTGAGTATTTATCTAAGATACTATCAGGGATTGCTTCCTGTTTTAACCTTGACTCCTCAGATCTGGCTTTTTCTATCTGTGCTCTTTTTGTGATTTCCCTATTTGCTGCGTATGAAACATACAAAGCGTAGGATGTATATGAAGCCACTACCCCCAGTCCAATCTTGGCATGAATGGATAACATATCTAGCAGTTTAATGGCCAGTAACTCAACAATTTCCCAAAAGTTAAGAATGCACAATCATGGCTCATTTTTTCTCAGAATCCAGATTCCATAAAAACGATAAAAAAAACCCTTGTGTTTTGGCAGAACTCATCTATTGAAACAGTAAAATCTAAAATTAATAGTACATTTTCTAAATACAACAGTTCTATTTAACTCTATGCGACTTTGGTTTTTGATGCAAGAAGATGAGATCCAACTTCTTGAAGCCATGTAAGGTCAATTGTGCTGACATTTCTAGCATACCCTTTAGTAGTATACACATAATCGGTATACATGATAGCATCTGATTTCTTACTGAAAATCATAGATGAAGGATGAACAGAAATCAACTGACCTGAAGTGGTTGTTCTATATGATCTATCAGGCATACCAATCGCTGTGTTTGAAACGAACCCCACTAAAAATGATTTCAAGACTGATGGAATATCCATTGGTTTTGTTTCATCTTCTTCTTCATCAAATAGATATTTCTCCTTAGTCAACGAAACCATATATTGACGGATCTGATTACGCACTCTTAAAACATTTTTGAATCCACGGTATGATAGGGCCAACTCTTTACACCATTGTTGTCTTTCCTGGGAATTATCGAATTGAATGTAAAAATCAAACAACTCCTTCAACATAATCAAATCACCATGTCTGGCACCCAATAGACACAAACTTAGTCTCTTTTCATTCACTTCATCTCTTGTCTCGGATGGTGGATTCATGACCAAGTTATCGACTGACAAACAAGAAACAATATCGACAACTTGTGTTAAACACCCTGTCTCATGAGCATTCAATAAAATAGCTGATAGCTGGGGTTCCAATGGTAAAATAGCCATCTGAGTACCTAGCTTAGTTATTTTGCCTTGATCATCCAAAGCTTTCAACTGATACAATTGAGTTAAGGCTGAGATCAATGAGTCCTCACCAGGATGCTCTAACCATGACCAATTTAAAATATCATCAACTCCAGCTCTTTTCAACATAAGTACTGGTGAAGTAACATTTGATCTAGAAATCTCAGGCTCTGTTTGATTTGGAAGTTTTAGATAATCACCCTCGGTGTATAATCGATAAGCCTTCCCTTCCCTTTCACGCCCAGCTCTACCTGCTCTTTGAGTTGCTGATGCTTTGGAAACTGGAGCTGTTAACAATGTGGAAAGACCTAATTGATGTCTCCAAACTTTGACTTTTCTCAGTCCTGAGTCAATCACATATCTAACGCCAGGGACAGTAATCGAAGTTTCAGCAATATTGGTAGCCAAGATCACCTTCCGTCTTCTAGCTTTCATTGGAATAAATACTTTTGCTTGTTCAGCTGGTGGTAATGCGGCATAAAGAGGAAGTGGGACAATCAGTGGAGCTTCTCTAGGTAAGCCAGGGGCAACTCTTTCAAGCAAATTTACAGCTTTGTCAATTTCTTCTTGACCAGGTAAAAATACCAGTATATCACCTTCTAATTCACCATTATTGACTTGAATAATTGCCTTGATTGTTGAATCAACAATGTCATCAACAGAACGATCCAGATACATTCGATCAACTTTGTACATTCTACCTTCCACATAAAGAATTTCTGCATCATCATAAAACTTTGAAAATTTTTCCGCATCCAATGTGGCAGACATAATGATCAATTTTAAATCTTCTCTTTTGGCCAACAACTCTTTCAAAAACCCCATCAATAAATCAGTAAGAACTGTTCTCTCATGAGCTTCATCGATGATAATTGTAGAATACTGTGGTAATGTTGCTTGGACCATCAACTCTCTTAACAGCATACCATCGGTTAAATATTTCAATTTAGTATGATGTGTGCTCTTATTATCAAATCTCACCGAATAACCAACTTTTTCACCAAGCATAGATCCTGCCTCCTCTGCAACTCTTGTAGCTAAATTTATGGCAGCAACACGACGTGGTTGTGTAACAGCAATACCTTTTTTATTCAAAGGTAATAAAAATTGTGGAATTTGAGTAGATTTACCCGAACCAGTTTCACCAATCAGCACAGTCACTCTATTCTTCTGGAGTCTTTTTAATATATCATCTTTGTTTTTGTAAACTGGTAAGGTTTTTCGTATTTGCAATAATTCTTTCGCCCTGGTATTAAGAGAGTCTCTAGTGACATTTTGAGCTCGGCTGTCCCTATATTCTTCTTCATCATCACTAAAAAAATTCACCACCTTTGCACCATTTCCGACCTTTTTTTGAGCTTATCTTTTTCTTTCCAGAAGGTTGGTCTTTTTGAGAATTTGTATGAATTTTAAATCCAGCGTTACCTGATGATCCAGATCCATTTGATTTGAATTTCTTTCTTAAATCTTCACCCTGGGAATTCTCCCCGAGTTGTAATCCCGCTTTAGGTAAGGCTACCTTTTCATCATCATTGACTGCTGGAATGGTAGCAGATTTTCTTTTTCTTTTACGTTTCTTAGACTTGTTTTCTTCATTGGACCTTATATCACCTCTCGATTCTTGAGACTCCAGCAGCTCATCTGAATCCCGAAACTTGTTGTGAATCTTTTGGTTGTGGTTTGTGATACTCATTAGTAACGTTATGGGTATCAAAGCCACTGGGAACCTATGATATATCTTCTCTAAAACAACAGATTCATATTCGATCAGGCTTTTCAGATGAGAAGTAAATAGAGGTTTAGAAAAAATTTAAAAGTTGGTCAGTCCACGCCCAGAAGCTCACCAGCCACAGATCGCTTTGTTGAGGCTAGTGTCACACCGCTTCACCGCCACATCTGAGAGCTTGCTGTTGCGCGGAGACAAGAAAATTCCCAGATCAAAAATAGAAAATGAAAACAGATCAGGAAAAACAATGCTCGTTTCAAACAAGTTTTACATAGTTCATAAACGGTTTTGATATCGAGGAAACGAGCTCTATTGCCACACTTTCGAACTACCCAGGTTCATTACACTCCTTCACTTGATTGATGCTTGACTTATTGACTCACTGCAAGCAATGGCTCCTCGTATTCGTCCTGCTACAACGCTAGTGGTGGTATTATCTATAGCATTTGCATTCCAACTGATAGCAATATTATCAGTTCCAGTCACAAAAAGCATATCCATATGTACATATGATGGTTATAAATTTGGGGTATTTGGGCTGTGTCGAGGAAATAGTTGTTCAAAAGTTGGTATAGGATACACTGGTAAAGAACTGGATGATGTTGATGGTTTCTCACTGCCTTCAAATGCTAGAAGATCAGTCTCAAAGCTACTTGTTGTTCATCCAATATCTGCTGGCTTCTCCATTATTTTATTATTTTCATCAGCTTTATTGCATTGGCATGGTCCTTCCAATTCTCTAAGATTTTTATTCTTCTTGTTATTATGGACTATACCCAGTTTTCTAATATCATTATTATCATTTCTAGTTGATATTCTTTTATTTGTGCCTCATTTGGATTGGGGTGGCTGGATTGTACTAGCTGCTACGGTGTTGATTGCGGTGTCTGGAGTTTTGTTATGCATAATGAGAAGAACTGTCTCATCTAGAAGGGTTCTGAAAAGAAAAGATACATTTGGTAACGATTATCAATTAGAACCACTGAATTATGGATATGGTACTGTTGACGGAAATTCAGATGTCAAGTTTGGCAAGAATTCCTATGAAGGAAAAGAGGGAAATGAAAATGAAGAAGAAAGAGAACCTTTTGTTCATGAAAGTAATGAAACCTTTGACAACTCTATGAATTACACTAGAACTCATGAAAATCTGAATGATTACCCATCTACTCAACTTTATGATTCAATGCGTGGTGAAAACAATAGAAGTGGTCAGAGTAACTCCACAGGTTATAGATCCCCCGAAAATATTCTGGCTCCTTTATCAACAGCCTATAGAGGTGAATTCAATTTTGACCGTGGAAATGAAAATCCAACACAAGAATATATTCCAAGTGCACCATACCCTTCGGATATACCGAATGCTGGATATGATGCGAACGAGTTACAACAAGCTTCAGAACCTTGGAGGGCACCTTACCCAAATACAAATGATGATTTGAGCCCTCACCCAGAAGCGTACAACGCTAATAGTGTACCATATGTTGGATCCAAACCATCTGGTCCTCGTCCTATGCCAACGCCCACAACTACTGGTAATGAGGAGCTTCCAATGTTACCATCAGAACTTGCTGCGGTTTCTTTCAATAATATGGATGGTGATGTTTTGACAGAGCCTTATTCAAATAGGGATTCTGCTGAAAGTTTATCAGCCCCACCACTTCCAAGCAATTTGGAATCTTCAGCTGAAGCAGAAACTGGTCAGTCACTTCCTGGGTACCCTTTCAATGAACGACCAGATCCGTTGATTCAAGAAACAAAAAGACTTTATGAAAGTGATCCCCCAAATTCTTTTAATAAAGCTGAAGAAACTGGTATTACTAGGGAAGCAACCTATAGAACTAAAATTGCCAATGCAATTGATCAACTTCAAGGTCCAGAAACAAATGATCCTGCTGTCTATTCAAATCCAAGTTTTATCAATACAAACGAAAGTCTATTAGCTTCCCAGTCAGCGTTAAATGCTTCACAACTTCCACCAAAAATCAAAGAGGATGATAATGATGATGAGTTGTATGGACCTGTGGCAGCCTTATCAAATGCAAATAATGAACACAAGGATAGAATTGTTCCTCAAAATTCAATGGATGATGATGCATCATCGTCATACTCTTCACATATTTCCTCCACTGTGAACAGCCCGGTTGATGCAACTTTTACTAGGACGCATTCACTTCTTACACCAAACAGAGGCTTGCCTAATAAAACTCAAACAACAAGTTCAATGGCCATTGACAATATTTACGACCGTTATGCAAGAGATTCGACGGCCACTTTGAACAATGCTAGTGCAGAAGGGAAAGAAGACGGTTTAAGTGCCAATGATTATCCATTTCCGGATCCTCATGAGAAACGAGTCACTCCTGCTCCATCATTTTCAAACATCTCACTAGTATCTTCAAACTTTACATCAGTTTCACAAAGGGGGATAAATCCAAAATACTTTGAGAAAAATCCAGAGGAAAAACTATTGTATTTACAGCAGCAGCAACAACAACAGGAAGATCAATCGCAATCAAAGCATCCACTCACTGTTCAAACAAGACCAAGACCTTTGCAGACGGCTAAGAATAACACAGATATCCTGATAGCTTCAAATCCAGATTTCTCTGTTTTACCTATAAATAAAAGAAATGGCAAAAGGAAACCAGGAAGATGAATTCTTTTGTGGTATAGGAACTATGCATCAATAATGACAATTTTGAGTTAACAATTATGTACAGAATCTATAGTGTAGGTAATGTTAACATGACTTGAATCAACGAATCTTGAAAATTTACCTGATTATGTATATTTGAAATACTATCGCCTGAATTTTGTCGATGTCACAATTACACATCATCGAGATATTGTTTTGGCTAAATTTATCATGTTAGATTTGATCAGCTTATGGATCACTGTCAGTACTTTTCAGGTGGTACGTGCATGATAGTGGTAATCAGCTGCTTGGTTGAATAATATTAATAAGAAAGCTCTTTTCAAAACGATTAGTTCAAGCTCACTAGTGAAATCGATGCTACGTACGTATTTATTTAATCATAGGCCGAATTGACGTATGATCACGAATAATATTAAACATATATAAGCAGCTTCCACTCAAATTTATAACAGCTTGATCATTGAATCATAATTTAATGATAGGACGTACAGCATATTATTTTTCTTTAATCATACATGCAGATATAGAAATATTGTACATATTATTGACGACGACGACTGCGCCGTCGACGTATAGTTAATTATGTACAAAATCACTGTATAAGAATCATTTTATGACGGATTTATAAGGAGATGAGATAAATCAGAAGAATAATACGTAGAAATGAGCCTATGTATAGTAATAAATATAATTAAGGGCGCCATATGATCAAATTTTTTTGATCAAGTAATTCATAACGAGTTTTAACACTCATTAGAAAGCTGTGAGAGATTGTTCCAAAAAATGTCTCGACAGCCATAAAATATTAATTATTTTTTTTTTTTTTTTTAGTTTGATGTATTTGATCTGAACTTGGATGAGGAATGCAATTACGCACGAACCGCTTGGATTGTAGGCTTCTCGCTATGTTGGAATTCAGGCTTCCTTATAATATCCTTCTCAGCCAACT